GTAATTTGTTTTATAATTTTCATGAAAAGTAAGAAATCAATCGTTACTATTCTTATGAATTGTAAAGGTGTTCAATAAAGTAATGCTTTTATTTATGTATTAATTATTATTCATTTTTAATTTTTGTTAACTGTTATGAATATAATTTGTGCATTTGATCAAGATAAACTGTTCTGTTAATAAAAATTGTTTTCATAAACTTACAAATTTCTGGGCAATATAGCGATAAAAGTATGTAAAATATTTACACAATTGAACATGTGAAAAGCCGTATCCAAAAATTTATACAGGTATATTTCTGTAATTCAGCTTAATTCAAGGCAATTTGAGATTCATGAATATGAAATACACATAAACTGAAATCATTGAATTCACATAAATCTGTTTTATTTTATTTATATCGATTTTTTTGTTGTTATAAGGTTGTTGGTTTTGAAAATGATCTATTTAAAACTTTCATTTAAAAAAAATGCAACCTGTGACTATTTTTTACATAACTATCAGATTAAATATGTGAATTTCTATTTTAGTGTATTACGACTTAAAGCTGGACTATTTAACCATACTAAAATAAAATAACTTCCCTTTCTATCTCTTGAACTTTGCATATCAAATGATTCTTTAATAAATTATGATAATATTGGGAACAAATCAGAAATATCACTTCTTAAAGGAAAAGTTGGAAAGTAAACCAATAAAGCCTAAATTAATTGCTAATAAAATTTTAAAAAATCCTTCAAATATGCAGAAACATCATTTTGGGAACCCTCCTTCCTTCTATTCTAATCTCCTTGGATTTTTATTTAACACTGGTGTTAATTTAACTTCAGATATTCTTGGGAAAATTTACAAACGTTATAAGAAGAAACATGACTCTGTTTACAGCTAAAACAGGTTGATTTATCCTCATTACGTAAATCTCAGGTGAAGGTAAGATGTTCTTTGACACACTTCATACACTTCGGAGAATTATTAGAAATTAGCTGACCGTGTCCAAAACGCTGACAGCGTAAGCAAATAATCGTATTTTTATTAGTACGAAATCTTCTGATAGTAACCTTTATGTTGAGAATGGTTTTCTATTTATAAAAGCTTCGTCCTTCATCATTTCGTGTCAAAAACAGGGAGTTTCCCTTCTGTTCTGTGGAACTTCTTAATAAACTGAGTAACTTTATTTACAGTTATCCTTCACTAAAGAGTTCATCTTATATTTCATCATGATCGCAGTTGTCCGTGAGTCCATGAATAACTATCTTTCGTGGTGCATCACGCTTAGCTTGAAATGTGCTAAGCCGAACATCCTTTTTCAAAAAATCGCAAGCGCAAGATCTCGCTGCAAAGCAGGGAAAAAAAACAATAGTGTTAATGTCCCTTGATAAAATACCAGTATAACCAATGACTCCGTGTTTTGAAAACAAAAATCTGACCATCTTTCCAGGATACCTCCGGTCTTGAGCAAACAATCGGGGGTCACTCGTTGTTTTCCCGTATCTATCACAGTGTCGATAATGGGCTAGAAGATGATTCATCATTAACAGCAAGTTCCTCTTCAGATTCGATAATTTCCTCAGAGGAAGGCATTTTAGCAAGGGCGTCGAACTTGTTGATCGTAGAGGTAGAAGGAACATCCGTTGAAGGGGGTTAGCTTCTTGGCTGGTTTCTTGGGGGAAACCCAGTCGTTTTCATCTTTCGTGTCAGAGCTAGCAAAACCTTCCTTCGTAGAAGGAGTAATTTTACAAGTTTTCACAGGGAGAATCCTTTTAGAGTCTTTTTTATGCTTGCTTTTCTTTTCCCAATAATAGGAAGGTCAGCATCACTAAGAGCTCGAGCATCACTTTCACGATAAAATTGGATCAACTCTTCAGCAAGTCCAGCTTTAAACATCGCACGAAAAAAGCCATCTTCGGCTTTCCGGAGATCTTCCTCAGCTGGATTTCCTTGCGAAATTTGTTGTTGGGAATCTTCAATGCTTTTCAATGCAATAAAGATATTAGCAGCTTTTTCGTTTTTAATTTGCTTTTCATCATAACCATTATAGCATAACCTTCAGTAACCATTACGAGGAACCATTTTACTCTGCAAACATCAATAGAGGAGTGCTGGGAGGAAGTCATAATGGCTAACAGCTAACAACAACCGTCAGTTCTGAACTTCAAATTTGAAAATCGTTGGAATTAACAAATCGCAGCAGCAATATCCACTCTCTGATTCTAAACTAAAACGCTCTCTCCTCCGATTGGCGCCGTCGATACTTTCTTTAATTGTTGTTAACACAAATTATTTTTTAATTTAAAACAAAATCGCATGATTCCAGTCCAAAAAATATATAGCAAAATAGTCAGTTTAGTTCCTTTCCTTTTCTTTTTTTTTTTTTTTTTTTGTTTGTTTGTTTTTCCTTGTAAGTTTTAATCTGCTAACATGCGTCTACTCCCCCCCCCGGAATTCCAGATAGCAGTAGAAGGGCCTAGCTGGTTTGGATAAGCCTTTTCAAGCTCAGTGCTTCTTTAACCCTTTCGTGGGCCGTGGGAAGATTACTTCCCACCTACATGATCCTGGGAAATACACCTGTGGGAAGGCAAAACCCACTATAATATATTGACTTTGGTATTATAACGTTGGGAACTCTAATTCCCACTTCAGTATTGTACTGCCATCTGTGTTCAATCGATTGAAAACAGAATTATGACATTTGTTTTGAAAGTTCGAACGCGTTGTGTGAGATCTGTTCCACTGAGACACCTGTTTTGATTTGACATTTGCATTGCTATACGATTCTGCTACAAATGTAAGTAAAACACTGCTTTTATTATAATAACGTTCTCTTATTTTGTATATTTCTGCAAGAACTATCTAATATTGAATAATAAATAATGGGTGGAAAGTGAAAATGCTATTGCATTGTGTATAAAAGCCACGTGCAATAGGTATGTTAGAAAAATTAGAATATTTTTGAAAATGCATTTGAAAATATCACTCAATTCTACTGAGAAAGAAAAGGATTATTTTGGCATGATTTTTACCGAGGAAATTTTACAGAATATTGTTGACGAAACTCATATGCAAAGACGCCTAAGAAAAGGAAGAGATTGAATCATACCATAAAAGACATTATCCTGAACTAGAAAGAAATCACATCAGAAAAATTGAAACCATGGGTAGGTATGCATATACTCATGGGTAAAAATCAATTGCCTGAACCGAAAAACTACTGCAGCATGGACCCTATTCTCAATGTTCAATCAGTAGCAAGAATAGTAATCGCAAAGAGGTTCAAAAAAGTAACTGAGATTTTACATGTAAACGATAACAGCACAAATCCATGCGGGCAACTTGGGCATGATAAACTCGATAAAGTCAGACCAATCCTCTCACAGCTCAATGATTCCATACCTTATTCATAAGGTTGATGAAGTCTACGAACCTTCGTCAACATTATGAATAGATGAATGTATGATAGCTTTCAAAGGGAGAACTTCATTGAAGCAGTATATGCCAATGAAGCCTATAAAAAGAGGTTACAAGGTGTGGTGTTTAGCAGACTCTAAGACTGGATATATTCAAAAATTTGAAATTTATTGTGGAAAAGAAAATTCTGATAATAAGGGTAAAATATTGATCTTAGGGGAAACAAACTAAACTAACGGAAGATGTGAAACAGTTAGGTCATGTTATAGCCTATGATAACTACTTGACATCTTTTAGGCTCGCAAAAGTCTACTTATAAGTGGTCTGTTTTCTGTGGGGACTGTGAGGCCGCAAAGGAAGGATCTTCCACCAATGCTGAAGGCTAATAACAAACTACAAAGAGGAGAATCAGTATTCCTAACTAAGGAAGGTGTTGCTGCAATAAAGTGGATGGACAAAAAAGCTGTTACATTGTTGACTACTGCACACAATTCAGCGATTATTACATCTGTAAATCGTACACAAAAGGATGGTACTAAAACAGAAGTACCTTGCCCTAAAGCTGTTGCAGTATATAATGATATCATGGGAGTGATTGCTTCGATCAAAGAAAAGAAAGATACCAAATAGGAAGAAGATCTGTAGAATGGTGGCATCGTATTTTTGATTTTCTTATTGACCTTGGCATCGTAAATAGTTTTATACTGTGGTAAGTAAACAAGAGAAACAGAAGTTTAGACCAGCTAACATTCCGTATAGCATTAGCTCGTCAACTAATAGACGGATATTCCTCGAAAAAGGAAAGGCCGTCCTGCTAGCTTCCAAGCAAAAAGGTGTGCAGTTCCGGATGATATACGCTTAGCCAATGTGGGAAATCATATGCCAAAGATGGTTTCCAACTATAGGCGATGTAAGAAATGTAGCACAAAGCCCAAGAAAAGAGGACCCGCTATATGTGTGCAGTATGTGATGTACCCTTGTGCATTGCAACATGTTTCTCATCTTTTCACGGCAAATAATCTCCTTTAAATTGAATTTTCTCTATGACCACAAAAGATCCCGTGGGAAGTATACTTCCCACCCCTAGAATTTAAATGTAAACAAAAAATTTGGCAAAATAAAAATATATTTCCTTAAATGCTATTGTTTAGTTGATAATAAACCATAAAAAAACGGTAGAAATTCAAAAGAGAAATAAATGGCCCACGAAAGGGTTAAAATGAATTCCGATTTTCTATATGTGTATCTGTTATAGTTTGCTGAATTTACAATACATTTATTTTATAACATGATTCACACCAGTAAGGATACTTCTGATTATTTCTTAGCTTGCTGAGATTAAGATGAGATGACAAACGTTTGATAATTTTATTACTTTATTCATTGAATTTCTTTCTATTAGTTTAACAAAACCCTTTAACTATAACATTGCTTCTCATTAAAGGCAATAATATCTAACAATGCATTTCAAATATTTTAAATTCCTCAAATACTTCTAAGAACGTATGCTTTGACGCAGATCGTTAAACAGCTGGAATCACCGGGGTGATTGACATGCGCATTAAATACCCTGCGCTGTGAATGCATGGAAGATGGCGACTGTGGTGTGTTTTGTATCACTTCCACGTTAATAGAATGTTTACCAAATGAAAATTTAAGTAAATATGTCGAATTCATTATCTTCAATAACAGAGAAACGATTAGCAGATTATTTTGTAATATGCGGGTTGGATTTAAGTTCTGGTTTGGAACCTGATCAGCTTGCAGGTAACCTAGTTAGTTTACCTTATAGGTTTGTTTATATATGTTTAAAGGGATTATTACGCTTATAATTTTTAGATCAAAGATGTTTTGCTATTTGACTGACAAAGCAGAAATATTTTTGTCTGTATAAATATTAAAAAGCGTTTTATTTTGAATAATACTTCCATTTATATGTATTAACAAAAACCTCGATTTAGTCAACATTTTAATTTTTCTTATTTATTTCCGTTGTGTTAATTACTTATAAAAATTAATTTTCCTTGCAATTTTTAGGTGAAAGTCTGCATTGCACACCATTAGATAGGCCATACAGGTCAAAAGTTTTAGCTCATTATCCTGAAAATGTGCCATGGAACCCTTTTGACAAGAGTGCAGTTGGCATGGTAAATATTAAAATGTATAAAATGTAATTTAAATAATATCGCAAAGTATAGAATTTGAATTTTTTAATTGTATGTAGAAAATTTTGCTGAAAGCTGAAAATTTCTAAAGTAGGATATCCTGAGTATTCAATCTGAAAAGTAATTTTCATTTGAAGTTTTTTTTAAAAAAAAAGCTTCTTTTTCTGGTTAAAGCATTTCATCATGCTTTAAACGCAATTATAATCAAAGCGTGAGAAAGTAAATATCAGTTGTGCATCCATGTATATCTAAACAAACAGAAATTGTGTCAGTGTTTAAAGGTCATGCCATGATGTCTGAACACTATAAATTGTTTTCTATAAAGTTTTGTGAAATTATTAAAATAAAATATTTTTTGCTATCAAATATGTATGATCCAAAAGGAAGAATTAAGGATTTTTTTATGAAATATTATCCTTGAGTTTGAAAATTTTGTTTCATATTTTGAAATTTCTTAAATAATAGTTAAAGCAATGATCAGAATACAAAGATATTTGTTTTCATGTCTTTTAAATGTATACATGTATGCACACACACTCCACTTATGTAATTTATATTGTAATATTAATGGTTTAGTAGTAAGTGTAAGGAAAAGGAGGACTTTAAAATTACTGTAAACAGTAATTTAGATATATTCAAAAAGAGTAAACTGCATCTTCTAAAAATTCAAAATAGCTATTTATAATAAGTTAAAGAAAAATTTGTAACAGTCGTGGGTAAATGTATTCATTTTTATAGGCTTGGTTACATTTTGTTACTTAACATGATTGTAGTTTTTTTTTTTTTTTTTTTTTTTTTTTTTTTCCTTGCTTGTTTGCAATAAATTTAATGAAAAATTAGGTTTGGGCAAACGATTTTTTTTTTAAATTTTTGTTGTGTAGCTGTAATAAAGTGTATAGATCTGCAAGAAGATTGTTTTTAAAATTTCTGAGAGCATTTTTAAAAGTGATCAGTCATACTTTAAGCAAAATTCATGTCTTCATATTGCATAAGCCTTTCCTTTCCAAGGATCCATATAAAAAGCAATGCTAACCAAATATTTAATTTTACATTATTTACAACTTCAAATCAGCTTGCTTCTTATTCATGTATTATGATTTGTTTCAAAATAAATTAATGAAACTTTGTCACTTATAAAACCATTTTACAGTTTAATCATGCAAATCTGATAATTAAATATTTATCTGTAAAAATAAACTTGGGTACAACCTCACAACTGCTACTTTCTACTTTTTATCCTTAATTGTTTTTTAACATTTTATATACAAAGTTATTTTTATGCCACAGAGTACTGATAACTCAAAGAGTTAGTTTTTGAAATTTCCATGGTTTGTACATATGTGGCACTTCAGCCTTAAGTCGGATGTCATCTTGATGACAAGAAATAACGAGAAGTTTGTATGTGAGTTAACTTGAATATGAACAGACTTTTCTCTTACTCCAAATAAATTACTCTTGAGTGTTTTATTAATTAATTAATGTTTGAAATAACTGAAAGATTTCATATGCTTAATTAATAACTTCTTTTATATATTAAAATGGGGATTGTTGTTGCTCACTTGTCTGATGTATAGTCAGCCCAAGCCCACAAATTCTTTGTTGCTTGTGTTCCATTATCCAGGGACATTCCTAGGCTATTGGCAGCCTGCATACTTTCCTAGAATTGCCACCCCCAAATTTAAAATAAAATGCTCAATGATTAATGAAATTTTTATTTCATACTCACTAAGTATTTTCATATGACAAATTGTATAAAAAGTATTTACATATGACTAGTGCTTACTATGAATTTAAATATTTAGTTGTGGTATCGCGAGAGTCCGAGCCGCCCCTGATTTTCGCTGCCCACATATACTTTTATGGACTGCATCCCCGCTAGGAATGCCATTATCTTATAACAAAACTCATAAGCTGGAAATTCATACACAATAGCTAAAATTTTATTTATATGAATATTTTGTGTATTTTGTAATAATGTTTTAGCTAATTAGTAATTTCTTTCACCCATGAGCTTCTATGTATTAAATCTGCTTGGTACAGCAGAGATATAACAACATGCTAATAACAAAAATAAATCCTTAACTTGTACCTAGATCATTTGAACACTTTTGATCTGATGATTTAAAGATATAGTTAGCAAATGAGAGTCTTGGTCTAACCACTGAATTTGGCATTTTGATAGCATATGATATCCACGTCAATAGATGGTACCATAAGCAAGGTTTAACTTTAGCCTTCCATCAATGTTTGTTACAGACAGTAGTAGTTGTATAAACGCCCATTCAAAGCTATAATATATTTCTCTTCTCGTTTGGCAGTGCATTGGGATTCATTGATAAGCCCACATGTTCACCTGACCTCGCCCTTATAACTCTTGAGTGCATGAACACCGAGTTCACACAATCCACTCAATGTGAGATTATGTATGTTAGTGCGAGAAAGCATGGACTGGCTGCCTGGAAGTGTTGATGGTTTTCTTCATCTGCAGTGTTAATATATGAGCCAGTTTTCCTTAGAAAATGTTTCACGAAAGACATATTTTTCTTTTAGTAAATTGCCTTTAAAAGTGTTTTACCATAATCTGAATTATAGGCATATGAATAATATGAATTTAGGCAATTAGTAATATGAATTTAGGCAGTATAGTGGTTAGGGGATCCTGACAGCGATATCGAAAGGCATGGGTTCGAATCCCGGAGAAGGCATGGATGTAAAATTTTCTGTCCCTTCATAGGAGGTAGTAATGGCCCACCTATTTATTAGGTGCCTCCACAATAAAATGGCCACCACTTCTGGCCTTAGTAGTAGCCATTGCCATCATAGGCAAGTGATAAAAACAGAATAGGACTCATGTATACATTTCACTTTTTAATAACTAATTGCAAATATTTATAATATATCATGATTCATATTATTTAATGAAACAGTTGGGAGACTTCAAATTAACTTGCATTGTTATTAACTGTAAATACTGATTGCCTATTCATATTTGTGAAATCAAAGTAATTTTTTTTACTGAAAAAAAATTGGTTTGCCTTCCCTCGAAATGCTTAAGTGCAAAATAGGTTTGTTCATCTGAAAATAATTAAAGGTATCATATGATTTATGTAGATTTTATTTTTTAGAATAAGAATAAAGAATTGATAGGTAATCCATTCAATATTATTTTCTGAAGTTTTTAAATTCTTTAGTTCTCAACCTTTAACCTTCGAGTAAGAATTTTATCTTAAACTTTTATTCACTGTTCTTAAAATATAAGATATATACACTGCTGGCCACCGTAAATGCAACACTCTGAAGGAAGCATGCAAATAACATGAAATTTACAACATGCAATAGCGAAGGCGAGATATGCAAATGATTAGAATTTCGGGGCAGATGCACATCACATGCGCCTGTGGTGCCACTTCAAAGCGCTATTTAAGGCTTGGGGTTTTCGACGATTTCAAGTTCGTCAATTGTGTTTTTCTTGTGTCTTTTTCAAAAAAAATTATCAATTATGCCTCGTAGTAAACAGCGATCATTGTTTGATCAAGTATCCGAGTGAGTTCGACAGAGGAAGGATAGTGGCCTACCGAGATTGTGGATTATCTTTCAGGGAAATCGGTAGTCGTGTTGGAAGAAACCAAACAACTGTAATGCGGTTATGTGACTGTTGGATGCAGGAGGGTACGACGGGCCGACCTGTTCGATCGCATCCACCTCAGTGCACCACTTCAAGTGATGACAGGAACATTGTGCGCATGGCAGTGACGGATCACTCAGTCACATCACGAACCATAGCACAGCACATTCAGTCTGTAACGCATCATCCAGTGTCTGGGCATACCATTTGATGCCGTTTACAGCAGAGTAGTCTGTCCGCAAGATGTCCATTGCTTCATCTACCCTTGACGCAGAACCACAGATGTCTCTGCTGTCAATGGTGCGATATGCACCGCCACACTAATCCCTGCACCGGTTATTATGGTTATGGGGCAGAATTGGATATTACTCTTGCACTCCTCTAGTACGCATTGCCGGTACTAGAGGAGTGCAAGAGCGCATGGTTGCTGAACGATTGACCCAGATTACATCCCAAGTTGCCACACCAGATCAACTTTGGCAATGTGTGGAAGCTGCTTGGTCTGCTGTATCCCAAGAACACATGCAAAGTCTCTTTGAATCAATGCCGAGGCGTGTGGCAGTGGTGATCTCCAACAATGGCAGCTCTCTGGTTACTGATTCTGGAAGGAACCACACTTCACAGAAGTCTATAAATTTAATCATTTGATACTTGGTCAGCATGTTATCTACTAAATAAATTTTGTTGTGATATCTCTTGTCTTTCTTGGTGTTGCAATTTGGGTGGCCAGCAGTGTAGTTACAACTCTTATTTTTGCATACTTTGTAAAGTAGGCAGTACAGAACAAATGATTATCATTCAAATTTATACACATCATGTTCTTCAATACAAATAATGTTCTATTTATATACCTCTGGCTTGTACTGCTTATTTTACATTCCATATTACTACCATCTTGGCACAATAGTAGAAAAGCCAGCTATTATAGCCACGGCCTGGGTTCTAATCGCAAGGAAGGCAGAAGGTTATTGTATTGTTGTGGCATGGAGACTCTTAAAATACCACCAGGTCAAAATTTCTCTTGAAAGTTTGGTGCTAGAGAAAGAGGGATGAGAAATCTGTGGCTATGTCCTCCAGGAAATTCAAAATTGGGATGAAATTGAGCAGATTTGTACTGTCACCTTTAAGTTGCCTAAGATCCAACCCAAGGTGCAACTCTAGGCTAGTATAAAACTCATGGACTTAATATGATATTACATTCAGGCAAATGAGACAAAATTCATCAAGATTTGTTCAAGAACTGTCAGACGGGACATCATTCTTCATTTAACTATACCCTATACATTTAATTGAGTTTTTATTGTTTGTTAAAATGCTAAGGTCAACCTTAAATTTTAGTGATTGTTATTTTATTATCCTGCATTTGTTCCATAATAATTTGTTTTATATGTTTGCTTTATGTTTCAGCTGTGCTTGCCAAAAGGACTCACATTCCGTACTCAAAAACATAAGCGTAACCCATATTTTCACTCATTTATCATCACAAGGGAAGATAGTACTCGCACTTATGGGCAGTGTTACACCTTTTATGAAGAGGTCAATGATAGGAAGATATGTGATGCCATGAATACATTGCAGGTAATTGTGTGTGATGAAGTGAATACGAAGTAAATATTGTTTGTTTTGTGCATGATTTTTATTGATAAAATATAAATAATGATAAATCTTGCATGTTATGTTAAAATAAAAATATCACTGTTTATGCTTATTTTATTATCATTGAAGTTTTACAGCTCTGAGCATCTCATTTGGTATCAATAAAAATTTAAAGGCTGCATGAACTCATATCTTTTATCTATGTTGAATTTGGTAATGTGGAATAATAAGTTTTAAGAAATTTGAAAAAGTAAAATTTCTACACATTCTTTTGCTATGTGTATCAAAGTGCAATCAGTTCCCAATTAACTGAGTTAATAATGAAGACGATGTTCTTTATTAACCCAAAAATCACGGTTAATTTGAAAAAGGTAGAACAACAGAAGAGAGAGAAGTAACTTATAATTTTAAAAAATACTGTTAGCAATTTACCAATATTTTGAAGAAATTTAATCTGGAGAGTAAGTTTATTTGGTTACATAAAAAGAGTGGTATTTAAAAAATATGTTTTTCTTTTGACTTAATCTTATATTTTGCAAGGAGTCAATTTGAGACAGAAAATTAGTGACTTAACACTTGATTTATTTTTACACTAGAGCCTTTATAATGATTTAACTCGATAACTGCTGCATAACCCACCAGTGGATCGTGATAGGTTTGTTCTTGGGGCCTTATGATCCACTGGTGGGTTTCGGCAACGTTTGTACCATTATGTACCACTGGTTGGTCATCTTTTCTGTAGTTTTATGTGGGAATGTGAATTTCTTCTACCTCCAAATCATTGTGCTCAGATTAGCCGCAAATTACAAATGTATTTACGTCTTTCTTTTAGAAATGTATAAAGTTACAAAATTTTGAAAATAATATTCATCTTCTTTTCTTACTAAATGCATTTCAAAATATATGAATATGTGCTGCAATGTTCTGGAAATCACAAATTATTGTTCAAAACTAAATAAAGTTGATATAAAATAACATGTTGCATCCTATGCATAATAACCTTCAGTTATTTTTTTTCAAACTTACGTTATGAATTTAAAATATACTTAGATCATGCAGTAGTACTGTTCATGCAATTTACTCTTATACATGTCAAAGTGTTAATAGCATTTATATAGTCCATACAATTAAATTACCTACTGTCCTGAAAAAAAAATTACTATTGACTTCACTATTACTATCCCATACATTTTTCTCATCCTTTTTATACTTTATATAGATGCTTATGTTTTATGCTAACAGTTTGTGATAATAAATTTTCTATGGCTTTGCTAATAAGCAGATTTTTTAAATTGTATTCTATTTTATTTATTTATTTATATTTATATCAGGCTTATATCAAAAGAAGTTCCATCCCCCTTGTTATAATAAATGATATGTTTAATGTTTTACATCTAGGAAAAACAGTGATATTAAGGGAAATTAGGCCAATTAAACACATAAATAAGCAGTAATATTAAATAAAAGTCACCTTCTTAAGAATAAGTAATAAATAATATGTTAATGAACTTCATATGTTGCAACACATGGCATACAACACATAACATAGGTTGTATGTTATGTGTTACAAAAAATGTAACATGCAGTTATTCATAGGGTGAAGCTTAGCATACATTATAAAAAGTCAATATAATGAACCAAGCATTAACAGAAGTTAGAACCAAAGTAAGGTAATTACTAATTATCTACCAAGATTTAGAGCTGAAGACTATCTTATTTGACTATCACTTAACTGCACTGTTGTAATAGAAGCCACCAAACAAGAAGAAATCAGGGTACTATTCGGTTTCAAGGGCCGAAAAAAATCGCCAAACTATTGTTGATGCCAATTCTGCCAAAAATAATTGCGGCAACCCTAATAAATACGGCAAGAAAGGAAGTATAATAGTAAATAACTATCTAAGATTGATGTTTCAATGTAGATGAAAGGTTAATTTCATATAATACTTTTTATTATTATAATTTATATGAAAAAGGCTAAACATGACTGAATGGAAGCATAAGAGTCAATAACTATTTCAGATCATTATTATAATTTATATAAAAATTGCTAAAAATGCTAAAATTTATATTAAAATTGCTGAATGGATGCCTGCATCGCTATTTCGCTACCAACTTATCGCTAAAGCATAATTTCATCTCGTTGGTTTCTCTAACGTAATTTTCTATAATGAATGATGCCTTTACTTTGAAAATATTCTCGGTAAAGTGCAGAATCGCCCACTTATTTGTTTGCCGCTTTTTACAAGGGTAAAAACAATTAAATTTTTGTCAATTTTCTTTTACGTTTTAAGTGAAAATAGGTTGATGTGTACATAAATAAAGTCAAGGGTGTGCGCAGTGCCATTTTTGTGCAATTCTAGATTTTTTTTTTAAGTGAAAATAGGTGGATGTGCACATGGATACCGAGTATGTGCAATTCTTAGAAACGCATCAAACAGTGGGTGATTCTGCACATTACCCAAAATTCTATTGCCGACTTTTCTTTGTGGGCAATTCCCAAATTGTTAAATCCATAGGATATTAAAAAAGGATTTAAAATCAAAAAAAGAATTTTAAAATTAAACTAGTATTTCAGTGACGTCTTAAGAAATATAGAACTATATAAACTTACGCAATCTGAAATCAGCACTAGATTTGGCGCGCTGTTAAATGGGCGTGTTTGTTAGATTTGGCGCTTTTGCACATACATTTTCGCTGAAATTTTTTACGGTCCTCAAAACGGAATAGTACCGAAATCAGGTATATTAAAAGGAGAAAATTCTTAGCATTCAAAATGAGTAATGACGGATTATCCAAAGAGATACCTAATGAAGGAATGTAAAATGCAAAGACATAGTCAATCTCACATGCATAGAAATTCCAGAGCAAATTCAGAAGTCTGTTTCCCAAGTCCTGCACATGGATAGCAAAGGTAATAAATATTGTATTGAAACTTTATGGTTTCCAAAAAAAATCACAGATTTTCTCAGACCCATGATGCAAGATTAAATAGTCTTAAAATGTGCAAATTAGATAAAAACAAGTAATGTTGTTTCATACAAAAAAAAGAGTTCAATGAAAAAAATCCTGATTTGCTGAAAGATATAAAATGTGTTGCTAGTGCTAACTTCTATTATTGCAGTTTCGAACAAAATGTTGAAACGTGAATTTCAAAATTGCCTACATTTTCTTGGTGGTTCAAACTATCAAAACTGTTTTCATTTATTCAAAAATTTTTCCATTTTATTTAGGTTTTAGCATATAGTTTAACAGTATCCTACATTTTCCTGAAAGTTTTAAAATTTCCAAATCTACTGTACTTGGATGATAATGAACTCGATTCACAAATGTAGTATATCGTGACTTTTCATCTGTTATTCTGAAGATGAACTCTGAGCCTTGCTGATGTGTTTCTTAATTTACAGTTAACAGTCAACAGAACATCTGTAATGCTTTTCAGTTCTTTGATTTATTCATCATAAAATTTGGAAATAAATTTACTGTTATAATCTAGTGCAAGCCAACCAGCAATCCAGCAATAATTTCTTCTCTTGTGATTTTAAGTAAAGCTGTCCTCTGCATTGCATAGGAAAATTCAATTAAAACATCAGTAGACAGGCTAAGAAGAAAGAATTGATTAAGTGATGCCTTACAAAAATTAGGTAGATAAATTTATTGGAACTTAGCCCTATTTACTAACAGTATATTGAGTACATCAATATATAACATATATGGCTATTGAGTATATTGAGTACATCAATATATAACATATATGGCTACAGATTTGGAGTAACCCTAGTACCATCCATTTAGAAGTTGATCATAAAATAATAGAAGTACTAATAAAAGTAGGTTCATCAGGATCAGAAATTACATCGATAGGTACCTCAGCATCTGCATCCAAGATGAGGCATCAGAAAATACAATGCATGATATCCAGAAACCACATTCTGAAGTTCCTACATTTTTTACCGTTTTAACTTTTAAGTGCACATACCAGATTTTTTTTTTTTTTTTTTTTTTTTTTTTTTTTTTTGAGAGTGTAGAAGAAGGCTGTTTAATTTTTTGGTAGCATTGAAAGGCAAATAAAGAAGATATATTATAAAGAAAGCGGATCTCTGTCTACATTTGGAGAACAAAGCACCATCTTTTCCTTGTCTTGTATATTGCCACATAAATATATATTTATCAACTATATTAATATATAAACAGAAAAAATTTAAAATAAAAGTTTGAATTGTTAAGTAAAAAGTATATGATACAGTATATCATATATTAAACATTATACATACTGTATTATATGATACATTACTGTTGTTCTTCCTATGTTCTGTTTTCATGTTAAAAAAAAAAATATTGGGAAATTGTAGAAATTCAGAATTGCAGATGTCAAATATTATATATGCTTATTATATGATAAATTACAGAAATTACAAGTTCTGTTATTACTGGTGTTATAAGTTTGCCAATTCTAGTGTCTAATTTTTCAGTTTTGGTGATTGATCGAGGTGGTCATTTTAACAGGAAGTACTGAACGTTTTCTTTTATTTTGAATGTTTCTGTAATTTTTCTTACCTTAGGCTATGCACTTGACAGAGCTAAGTAGTAGCAAAATGACTGGTATCCATAACATCTCTGATATTGGGAGCACACGGTCACTTCCACGTTCCTTTAAATTGAGTGGTCGGCAATCTCATAATCATTCAGGAGCTCTGTATGATCTTGTGAGGGATACCTTGTATGTTACCAAGTGTATCTGCCTTATAACTCAGTTGCCAGTAATAGTAGCATGCCGAAAATTTCTTCAGGGTTTTCATGACTTAGCAGTGTCTAGAGAGCCTCCTCCTATGAGGTAAGTAATTTTTATACCCTTTTGATTGTATGATATGAGCCATTAGCTGAGAACACATTTATAAAAAAAGGGTTAAAAAGTGGTTGGTATTCTAATTCTTCAATACAAGGTACATATTAGTATGTATTATTGCAAAAATAAGGAAATTAATAAATTTGCCTCATTTAAAAATAAGTATAATTTACTAGATTTAAATTTATTTTGAAACCATGTTAATTTAGTTTATGCTTGTATGAATGTTTTCTAACATATGTAGTGATTGACTTTTTAAAATTATATCATCTGATTAGAATCCATCTCATGTGGATGTATGTTTTTCCTGATACTTTTATGCCTTCTGTTTTATGTTCTTTTGAAATATTTTCTGAAATCACCGTTGTGTGTTAAAATGTATGTAAACTGTGTTATTTTATAAAAGTTTCTAATATCTTCCCTGTGGATAGGTTTCAGATGCATTTTTATAAGTGAGGATATTTTAATTATCCTTGTTTAGTTCTCTTATATTAAATATAATGTAAGGGAACCTTATGTTAAGTATAACTAAAATATCACTCTTAAAATACTAATCATTCCACTTAAAAAGTCAAGGAATATTAGAACATTTGAAAAAATAAGTTGGGGAGTTAAAAAAATGTATAGGTCATGTTTCTAAAAAAATTTGTGTAGTAGTAGTAACAAATAAAAAGTAGTAACAAATAAACAAAATTGCCAAGCATAACGAAGAAAGAGAATGAGGATTTATCCCTCTCCCCAAAAAAGTTTACTTTTCTTGGGGATATCTAATTCCCAAGAAAGAGCAAACTTTTCGAATATTTTTTCTAATATTCTTAGCAATTTTACCAACTCATAGCTCTTTTCATCTGTTCGTGAGATTTGTCTGGTTTTCTCTTTGGAAGTTTAAATATTGTTTGATTTCTTCCTATACAAATGTAAAATTGCCTTTCAAAAATAAATAATATATAATAAGTCATATTATATAATTGTATGTTATAATAACTATGCCAATTAAACTCTTTTTGCATCCAGTATATTTCTTTACTTTTCAATTTTGTTTTGAAATTCTGTAGGACTAATATTCATGATAAATGATGTACTGTTATGTAAGGTATGATAATAAAGTTTGGTAAATGAGGTGACAAAATATTGGAAATATGGTGAAACTAATATGAGAATCGTAAAGGCGTCTCGTATCGGATGACTGGGCCATGTGTTTAGATAATATGATGGATTTCTAACCAAAAAGAAAACCTTTTCAAGAATTGAGGGAGTAGGATGAAAAGGAAGGCCACTCACTAGATGAATAGATGATCTCGAGCAAGATTTAAGGATTGGAGTTAACCGATGGAGGGCTATTGCGCCGAATGGGGTCAAGTGGAAGAAATTTTGAGAGACAGGCCTTGGCTTTTAACAGGCTCTGGAGCTTATGAAGAAGAAGAATGAGGTGACAGAATTCACACATGCTGCAGTGGGTAAATGACAGGGTGCAGAAAAGATACTGCATAACGCTTCTGAGTATGTCTGAATGTGACACAGAAATGGAAATTACAGATCTGTGTTAATGGTGCTGTAAATGTACAAAGCTGTATCAGTGGCTGTAAAATGGAAATGCAAGCAAATTTTAAGTTCACTTCCAAACATAGTAAATTTGAAAAAAGGAGTCATGATGTACTGAAACTAGTTCATGGACATGAAGATGTTTCTGTGAAATACACTTATAAATGGCTTAAAAATTTGGGGAAATATGAGGTTCCATTGAAGACTCCGCTCAAAGTGAATATCACTTCTCATAGCAGCAAAACATTGAAAAAGTGAAAAGGAAGCTTTGGATTATTGTCTTAAGTATGAATGACAGCAGAGAAACTTGTGGAAGTGTACATGCTGAGCAGGCCAAAGCAAGCTATTCATTTCTCTTCCATGGTAATGCCCATCTAGGTTCAACTTATTTCCTGAAAGAGTTCATGGCCTGTAGAGGAGTTATAACCCTTGACCCATTTACTGTACTCACTTGTTCTTGCTCTACCAGACTTCCTTCTGTTCCTTACCTGAAATGAGCCCTGAAAGTCAAATGATTTTTGGATTCCATGTGATATAAAAACAGAACTTTGTCTGCTGTTTTCAGAAACTGTAGAGTTATTATCAAAAGTGCGTTAGAAATGATGGTCAGTATTTAGAGAAAGAATAGAAGACATTTTTCTTGTTTTAAATAAGAATCAATACTTTCTTATTATCTGCACCAACACCAATAAGTCATAAACTGATTGCTGACTTTAGCGAGCATTTAAGAAATTGTTAGCGAGTAATTTTTTGCAAGCTACTGAACAGAAGGCAGCAGACGTTTTCAAAATGGCAGCCCACTATGAATTCTTTGCAAAAATAATCAATGAATGAAATGAAGATAACGAAAACTGATGCTAATAAAGCACTTAACATTTTTTTAAATCATTCTTTTATGCACTGTTAATCTCCCCATGTATATGATCTTTTTTTTAAAAAAAAGGTTTAATAATAGTACAAATTTGGCATCGAAACAACGTTACCATGAAGCTGCTGATACGACACCTAAGGAAGTCTCATTAAAAGATATGATTGATATCCATCTTCCTATTTCAAGACTTACTATCAAGAATAAATTTCTAAACAAGTTTTAATAAAATGGCAAAGAAAATGAGATGAGGGAGATTCAATACTTCAAACAAGTATCCCTGAAAAGAATAAAAACGTATTTCCTGTTAGTACAATTAGCAACAAAACACAGAAAGTTTCCATCTCATTTCCAGCGCTTCTCAAGAAGAGATGTAAGATGTGGGTGTGGAACACCACCACATGTAGTAGATGCTAAACATTATATATGGCAATGTCCACTACTTTCAATTATTATTAGAGCAAAGCATTTAGCAACAAAACTTCCAGCAAAATATTTATTCTGCAATACAAAGTATGTTTGCATTTCAACAAATTATGAAATATATTATTGAAAATGAAGGCACTGTTTAAAGGGTTAATCATATTACATAGTGAATTAACAAGTATTTAAGATCAAATAAAGATTATAACATGTCCTGTCTCAATTTGTAAAGAGCAAGAAAAAATTATTTTAAGTCTTCTCTTCATCTCTATATGTTGTGTATGTTACTGTATTATTTTATTACTTTATATATTTAAAAAAAAAGGACCAGTGGGTCTTCTTAATCTTTTTTTTTTTTATTTGGTATGTGCTCTGCCCTTAGGCATTACATGGAGGGAGGAATGTCCCATGGAGGTCTTTTTAAGGTAAACTGGCTCTTATCCATATTACGAGTGAGGGAAACCAAAAAGACCATGCAGCCAGCCCGTTAGCTGGGAACCGAACTCTAGACCGAACTACCACTGTTCAGCGGTTATTACTGCTCGGCCACTGGTGGACACTAATGAGGTTAACGAAACTTCAAGTTGTGTGCAATTAATCAATGTTAATGCTCTCAGCCTTATGACTGCATATGCTGAGCAGATGGCTGATCAATTGTTTCGACAATTTTGGGACACGATTTAAAGGTTTTCTCCCCACACTGTTCTTCATTGACTGGGGTGGGAGTTAAAAATGTAAATAGATTAAAGATTATGCATTGGCCAAAACAAATGTACTACATACGTACTTGGGTTGTCTTATAACTGGTTTGGTAACTTTGCCTCATGAATACTTTTTGACTACTTTTTTGTGGGGATGCAGATAATTGGAAAGTACCTAAGAATCTTTTATGTATAAATGCATTCTCTGAACTTTGTCATTTGGTATATTTTTTTAAAAAACGCTTTCTATTTTACTACCTCATTGGTTTAAAGGCTATATATATTTCTTTTATTTGCTGTTTTGTAATAAATGAGATGAATAAAATTTTTTATTGTTCTTATTATTGCTTTGTATTTCATAATAAATTTATTAATATGTAGTTATTCATATTTAATTTGATAACCAGGTCATTGTCTGTGGTCAAGAAAATTAAAAGGTGAATTTCAGTGGGAACACTATGATAGGAAATTTTTTAACCATTCTTAATGCTTGAATTTCACTCCCCCCCCCCAGTTTAGTCTCTTAACTTCAAGAGTCTAACCATCTCTAACTAAATGGAAAATAATTTATTAATTTTTTTAAATATTAGAAATAAGAATATATGAAATATGTTATAGCAGGTTTTTGTTGTTATGTGATTTAATTACAAAATTCTTAAAAAGTTCCCCCTTCTTAAATTTTTGTATGTTTTCATTTAGATTGGAGTCGTATGTGTACAACATATTATTTGAGGTGCCATTACCGCCGCCCAGTCGAAGCTTGAAGTTAACTTGTTTTGGTCAACAAGTTTTGTGCCAAAGACCAGGTAATGCTATTCTCATTATGCTTTATTTGTGATTAAAAGCTTTCTGAATAATTAATAATTGATCATTTTTTTATTTGAAATCTTAAGAATAATATGTAAATTTTAGCAAACAGCGTCAATTAATTTTAGCTCAGGTCATTAAAACTTTGGCCCAAGTTCTTCATTATTTATATTCTTTGATGAACAACAGTATGCATAAACATTATATGAAAAAGGTAATTTGCTTCTAGTAATAGATGAAAATAGAAGACTGTTAAAATTAGCACAAATAGTAACTGTATGCTAAGTGTGATGTTGTGAAAACTTCATCTATTCTTGCCAAAGCTGGAAAACTTTTGAATGTTTCTGAGCTGTAAAAGGATTACATCAATGATGCAGTGTATGGATAACTTTTTATGTAGAGTAGAATTAAGAAGAGACATTAGTAAAAAGTTCTTTGAGGTCACCCTTTTTTTTTTTTTTTTTTTTTTTTTTTTTTTTTTTTTTGAGGGGACGGGAGGTCTGAGGGATTGTTCATTGTATACTTATTCATTAACAGCCCCTGAAAAGATATCATGAGCTCGGCTGCTCAGAATATGGCATATATATGTTCGTCTGTTCATCCAGGTGTTCTCTCAGAACCCCCTCACAAAAAAAAGGGAGAGCTGTGTTAAAAGAACTTTTTATCAATCTCTCTTCTTAACTCTAATCAATATCCACTTTTAATTCTTCATGTCATATAAATTTTATGAATAGCCATGATATTAAAAACTTTATAGAGATCAAAACCTCTTTCTAAATTTTCTAAATGTTAATTAATATCATGATTTCTAGTTCTTTGATATTTTGCACATTGACTTTCAGTTTCATGATTTTAAACCTTACCTTTTATGTAATGATTTTGATTTGCAGTGAATGTTCTTCTGATTTCAACTTATTTATGGGCTGTGATTTTAATTCAATTAGGTTAAATTTAATTATCTGTTATCCATTTGCCTTCTTTTAATTTCTTTTTATTAAGCTGCTATTTAATTATAATAGAGTTTTGATACTTTTTATGTAATTGGTCTTTTGGGGGCTATGTCTGGGGACAGGGTTTGTTAAATATTTGCTTGCAGTTAGTTAAACATGCATTAACCATGTCTAGGTTTCTGCAGTGGTCACACAAACAAATCAACCAACCAATCTTTTTAAGGGCACAATGTAATAATGTCGCATGGTCTCTCTCTGTGTAAGAAATTTTGCCAAATTTAAGCATTTTTCAGTGAGAGCTATATTTTCAGGAAGGATGCTTTCAAATTTTGTTAAACTTAAATTACATTTCTCCTTCCTTCCTCAGTTAGAGAAAAGTAAACTGGTTCCATTAAGACGCATGCAATGTAAAAATTTACTATTTTTATTTTAATATTTCTGCTGACATCCTTTTTGTGCATTTTGTCAGTTTTAATGAACTTGATTAATTTTCTTAATTATTAGCCTATGCCAGACACTCTCGCACTGCAAAAAATATTATTGATCATTTTCAGCTTAATCTTCAAAAAATATTAAGAACTTTTTGTTGATTCATTTTGTAGCACTACCCATTCATATACTAAGACAAAATCATCCCATTCTAAATGATTATACCAAATAAGATAATGGGCAGATCTTTGCATGCTATATATCAAAATGAATTTGAGTGAAAATTTGTAACATGTGACAAGAAACTTGGATTGTCAAAGTTTCTTGTCACATGTTATAAATTTTAACTCAAATTCTACATGATGGATGCTGTTGTCTCAATCACATTAGATATGCTTTAGTATGTATGAACTGAAATGGATGATCGACTGAATGTCTTTTACTTGAGAATTTAATCTCATGTAGAGCATCTGCAATGTGTGTCAAGATGGTTGATCATTTGAATAAAGCACGTAAGTGCTACTGCCTAATGGACATAAATGCTTTTATGGAGGTCCTTCTGAGAAAAATTGGCTCATGTGGAAATGTTACACGTGGAAAACCATAAAATCTGTCAAGCAGCCAGCCTGTTCTCCTGGGTTTTGAACTGAAACAAACTACCTGTTTTCAGCTGTCTTTAACCTCTTAGCCATTGGGCAGGACAGTGTGTGTTAATAATTATATGATAGGTAAATATGGTATATCACGAGTAAATATGGCTCAGTTACATTGTTTGCTATAATTGTTTATGACAGAATGATTAATTTTGACTTGCCTGTCTTATCATATTGCTGGGATAGGAAGTCTTTTATCACTTTGTGAATAGTTTTGCCTTTTAAAAACTGAATTGACAATGTAGAATGTCAGAATGATTATTAACTTTTAAATGCATATTATCGTTCCAGAATACAAAGAATTTAATACTTTTATTTTAAATTACAAACTTTAACTAAATGCTAGAATCCATAATAATTCTGATTTTATAAAATATCATTGCTCAGAAGATGAAAAATACATGGATTGTTAATGCATGTTTTGAATAAATATTTATTACATGAATTTTATGTGATCTTGTTTTTCATGAATTTTAATATACACTGTTAGGTATATGAAAGTACAGCTGTATCTTTTTATTATGTTGGAGAATATTTGCATAATTTTGCTTTGACTGTTGAATCTGCTGTATTTTATTATACGAGGGCTATCCAGAAAGTAGATTACGTTTTGGAATAAAAAAATAAACAAAGTATAGGAAACAAATTTTATTATATACAGATGAAAGCCACACTCAAATACTACTTTTCTACATAGTCACCATACAAATTAAGGCATTTATCGTAGCGATGTACGAGCTTGGAAATTCCTTCGTCGAAAAATTCGGCCGCCTGCGCCTTCAACCACTTCGTTACCTCTTCTTGCCTTCCATCTTGCACAAAACTTGTGGTAACCAAGCTTTTCGCTGATGATTTTGTGCAACAAACTTCGCGAAATTTGTGGAAAACTCAAAGAAAGTTCCGTTATTGTGAAATTTCGATTTTCACGGACTTTAGCATCGACTTTTTCGAGAAGTTCGGCGGTCACTATGCTGGGTCTCCCACTTCGATCTTCGTCGTGAACATTGGTTCGGCCATTTTGAAATCTTATGACCCACTGACGCACTCCACCTTCAGTGATAATGTTGTCCCCATACACTTCACGAAGCTGCCGATAGATTTCTATCGGTTTACAGTTTTTTGCAGTCAGAAACCTTATTACTGAGCGCACCTCGCAGCTTGCGGGATTTTCAATTAACGCAGACATTTCAAACCGTCACAGTATCTGAACGGAGCACAGCACGAACCTCTCACTAGCACGGCTAGATGCAGACTGAGCTGCGCAACGCTCTGACCCCAAGATGGCCGCGCTAGCCCCGCCCCTAGCGGACACAGACGGAAACGTAATCTACTTCCTGGATGGCCCTCGTATATATATATATAAAAATGATTAAGTAATTCCAGAAGTCTTTTGAAGACACTAATTTGGGGATTTCTTCCTTTTTAGGTCCATGTGAACTTCCATTTTTCGAGTATTCATACCAAACATTATTCACAACATTAGGTGTAGATAATGTCATTTTATTGTATACTAGTGTTCTGTTGGAAAATCAAGTGTTACTTTTTTCTGCTGGTGAGTTTTCTTGACAAATTATGCAATTTACATTTTGTTCTTGTTATTTTTATACAAGATCCATCTACTCTGGAATAACTCAAGAAAAAAGGTTAAAAACATAGCCATTTAATATGATTCAAAGTAATCCTCATAGCCGTAATGCACGTCTGTGCTCGGCTGTACAAATTTCAGAAAGAAGTGTGCTAGGTCTGGAGAGTATGATGGATGCTACATTTCAATGACACCATGCTGGGCTAAGAATCACCTCACAGGCAACACAATGTGTGGGTGGGCATTGTCGTGTAGCAGCAGCCAACTCCCATTTTGTTGAAAATGAGCCCTCACTCTAAGAATTCGTTTTCGAAGTCGGTCAAGAACTGTGTAGAACTGTCCATTGATAGTCATGTTAGGAGGAAGAAATTCATGATGAATGAGTCTATCGCAATTGAAGAAAGCGATTAATATGACCTTGATTTTGGACTTTTCAAATCGAAATTTTTTCTGCCTTGGTGAACTTGGAGACCGCCATTCGGAGCTTTGACGCTTGGTTTCAGGGTCATATTGATAACACCAAGACTCGTTTCCCATGACTATCCTATCTAGGAATGCAGGGTCAGCATCAGCGTTGTCGATAAGTTCGTCACATGCGTCCAGTCTCAATTGCTTTTTTTCGTCTCTTAAATGGTGAGGAACGAATTTGGAACAAATCTTGCGTTTGCCTAGGTCTTGCGTCAAAATTCGCCGAACCGTCTCTTTGTCCATGTTGAATTCAGTGTTGGCGAGTACTCGAATAGTCAATCGACAATCATATTTTACCATATCACAAACTTTTTCAGTTGCTTCCATCGTGCGTACAGACTGTGGCTGACCTGTGTATGGATCATCTTCGACGCTTTCGTGCCCATCCCGAAAGCGTTTAAACCATTCAAAAGTTCTTGAGCGGGATAATGCTTCCTCGCCATAAACTTGTTTTAACATTTTAGGTTTCCGCAGCTGCCTTGCTCAATTTGAAGCAAAAGTAATGTTATTCTTTGCTCATTTCACTTCAACAATGGAATTAAGAGCTACTTTAAGTGCCTCACGAGAACCACTTTCTAAGATGGCGCCGATTTGCACTGCCATGCCAGAAAACGCTTGTCAATATGCAATCATTAGCACCATCTTCCGACTTTTCGTTCTCCTACAGTTACGTCTGTCCTGGAAATTAATAGCCAGACCATGTATGTGAATGTGCATTTCAAAGATAAGGGCCCATGTTGGAGTTGCTTGAAAATTCTTCAAAAATTTAAAATCTCCATCTGTTGATGAGAATTTACCTGTTACATTTTTATAAGCTATTAAAACAATATGCAGCAAAATATAATTTCAAAACTCGTGACTTTCACGTAAAATAAATCCTCCTGAAATTTCAGATTCAAAATTTTTTAACATATTATTTGTAGAATTGAAACTTAAAACCTAAAAGAAACAGTAGAATTTATAAATTGTGTAAAGAGAAGCAAAGCTTATATATCCGAAGATCTAATTATTTTTTTAATACAGGTCATTGGAATTAAAAGCAAGAAATGTAAACTTAGAAGAAATTAGAGACAGGACATTTGAATCCTTGAATTTTTTTCAAGATTCAGAAAGTTGAATCTTGGCATTCAGATTCTGTGAATCTTGAAAAGTATTTGAGCATCAAAAGCTGCAATCTTTCAGTTAATCTTTTTAATCCTGGTGTAAAAAACCATTAATTATTTTAACTGGAAACTTTATAAAGATCAGTTTTATTGGTTCTAATAGAAGTGCTCATTAAAAAATGAGCATATATGGTGCAAACTTTGTGGGCCTGAATCACCAGTATTAACCTTATGGACAGTATACACTCATAATTTTCTGGAGAGAATTTAGCATATCATAATTATTTAGCTTTTTTTAATTAATTAATTAATTCATGTAATGATTCTCTTTCCTTTACTCTTATTTTGATTAATTTTTTTTTTTTTTTTTAATTTTCAAATTTTCAACTGTTTCTAAAATACCTTTGTCAAATTATATTGTTAAAATGAACCTCAGTATTCAAGAGTTTTAATTATGTGTTTCATTTATATCTTTTTATTAAAAGTAGGAGTATTTTTAAAAATTGCATTATTCTGGTTTCTTATAACATTTCAATTGCCATTTTAATCTTAATCTTGCATAAACTGAGTAGTATATAAAGATATCCCTTTACTGCTAATTTTGATTTCATAAATAATTCTTGCTAATTGCACTGTGAACTTGCTAATTATCACAAATAATTCCTAGGTCTTGATTTCTAACAAAACTGTTTATTTATATTAATATTTACAAAAAATAAAATTATATCTTTTTATGTCATCTACATTAAATTATTATGTATCATCATTTTTAAGAGAACAGTGCAAAGCAAAAAATGATTCTGCTTTTCATTAAGAAAAGAAGTTCAGCTTGTTGGCCTGTTGTCTACTGAAAGGGAAGATGTTCATTATTCACAGCAGCCATACAAATGAATAGATTGTGAAGGTTTCATTAATTTTCAGTTTCTCATAAATGTTTCCTCCCCCCCCAATACTTTAGTTGGGATATTATTAATGCAATCCCCTATGGCACAATTTGGCTATTAAGAGGTGAAAAGGTTAAAGTTCCCAAACTATCGATATTTATTTTCAGTAAAGATTATCAATATATAAAAAAAATACTTTAGGAATTTAAAATACAAATTTAAATTCTTAAATAAGAACTGCATGATACTTTTAAAAAAAATAAAACACATTTTTTTTCAAATCTTTCTTTAATTTTTTTGCACCTTTGTTCTCCCAAAGAACACGGTGATCTGTTTTTGCTTAAACTATCAGTGACTAGGCATTGCAACCCTCAGTAACAGTAGCTGTCAAAGAAATAGATTTCCTTGTTGTTCTGTTTAGAAAATTTTCAACAAAATTCTGTATTTTTGCTGAAATTTTACTGTAATTTCTTGCATTGGTGGCAAATTCTATAAGCTCATATTTTAAAACTAAGGCAAAAAATATCACGATTTGTTCATAAAAACCAATGAAACTGGAAATACAACAAAAAATAAAAGATGCATATGAAAGTGGCGGCATTCCTTGACTGAAAGTTTGTTATGAAAATGTCTGCCAGATGAATGGTTATGTGCATGGTTGTCAGAGTTTGGTGCATTCTGTAAATTTGGTAATTTCTACTCAGGTGGTTGCATTAATATGTAAGTAACCTTTATTTTTCATTTTAGACAAGTTTTTACTCATGCTTAGTATATATAACATAACTGTTCGTTTTCTAGATTATGATATGTTGATGGTTGTTGCCGAATGCATCACTATGTTGCTATTTCCATTTACATGGCAACATGTGTATGTTCCCATCCTTCCTGCTTCATTACATCATTTTCTTGATGCACCTGTTCCTTACATAATGGGATTATGCTGTGGTATGGAAGAGAGAGCTCAGTTATCAATTCCAGGCGAAGTTAGATTTTTTTCATTTATATGCATTTCAAAATAATATATTCTTCAAAATAATAGTTAAGTATTTTAAGAATGCATTTTAAATAGTATTCTAAGTTAATGTTCTATGTGCAACAAATATAACTGTATTTGAAATGTGTAATTAATTTTATGAGAGCATATTATACAGTAGAATTTTGTAAAATTAGAAGATAAAATTGTGAATTAAGGATACATTTAAATGAAAATATCTTTTATAGCTAGACATGTAAATGAAAAAAAAACTGAAGCCGGGTTAATATCTGACTGAATTTCTTTGATTTATATGTATTGTTTGAGATTAACTTTTTTTGAGGAATGCTTTAAAAACTTGTAATTTATTTCCAGGCAAACTTATGCTTTGTTGATATTGACAATCAGGTAGTTGAAGTTCCAGAAGACATTCCAAAATTTCCTAGTCGGAATGAATTGATTTCTGAAATTGTTGATACTTTGAAAGCATTTGGAGTATCGTCAAGTGAGAAAGGACTAGATCGCAATTCTAATGAAAGAAATTCGAGGAACCATCGTCGAAAACTATCTTGGACATTTGATAGTGGTGATTCGGGCGTTAGTAGCACTGACAGTAGTGCAAGGAGTTCATACAGTAGTCTTGCAAGTACTCATAGTCATATATTACAGCAGAGTGAAGCTCTACAGAAAGTTGCTGCTCTAGCAAAGAGAACAGGTAATATGCAAAATACTGCACATCATTAAATGCATGTTTTAAATACTTCTGGTCCTCACCTATTCTATACCTTGATGGTATTGTAGCTACAAAAGAAATATATGATAACAGAGAAGTTCATGCTTTGCTAAGAAATTCAGTTGTTGGCAAGTCAGTGGCTAAGGGATACCAATGCGCTACTAGCACTCGAAGGAGACCTATTGTCTGGTAGATGTTTTAATCTCACCATATCCACAAAACTGAAAAATTTTAAACTGTATTTATAAAATTCAGCTTGAGAGCAAAACAGTAAAACTTCTGAAAACAAAACAAGATATTGTATATGCATAGCGTATTCGGAAACTAAGTACCGTTTCATTCTAACGCCGTCGCAGGGCTGTGGTAGGCATCCCGCGCATGCGCACTAGTCTTTCTTGTTTACTGACTTTCAATTGTCGCCATTTTGGTGTTCTATGTTGTGTGTTTCAGTTTGTGTGCACATCAAAATGTTTAAGACAAATAATTTCCGCTGACGTGAGATTCTCTGTGATTAAAGTTTTGAACGCGAGGAATGTACCCCGGTGGCCGAATTTATGTCAAGCGAAGATTTATGGTGAAAACGCAATAGTGATGGAATGGTGAGAAGTGGGTAAGAATATTTAAGCAGGTCGAACAATGTCCACGACGGGCTCGGATGTTGGCCTTCTGTGTCACCGATGATTGGTAGAAAGTTGAAGCAATTCTGAGAACAGACGCTTCACAATGACAACTCTTTCAGAGGCATTTTCCACAAATTTACGTACTGTTTGGTTTTGAAATTGTGTCGACTATCATTGTCCTGCACATGAAGCGCGAGCTTGGTGGCAACGCTTTGGATCTGACGATGACACGAAAAATGCTGTGGAGTCGTGGTTATCGAAATGGCGGGAAGTTCTTTGACATGGTATACAAAAAACTGGTCACCCGCTATGACAGTGTTTGATCATTGGCGGAAACTATGTTTAAAAATAGTTTAAGTAATGTATTTTCATGTAAAAATAAAATTGGATTCGAAAAAATTGTTTTACTATTTTTTTTTTCAAAACGGTACTTAGTTTCTGAATACGCCTCGTATGTTATGAATAATTTCAGTAATAAATTTTATTTAAATGTCAGGTCAGTGGTCATCCCTGGTGGCGCACAGCAGTAAATGATCTGACTTGTGATACTGTACTTTAAAATTCTCTTAGAATCTCGTATTAATTTCTTTAAGGCTAATTAAAAATTATGCATCATATATTCATGCCCCACATCTTTACATTTTTTGTTGTGTAGGATTATATATTTCAAGATTTATGTGAAATGATATTGAATGACACTCATAACGATATAATCTTGTAACATACATGAGTGTGGCAAAGTTTAATTGATAAATTATGCACAATTAAATATTAGTAGCATTAAGTAAAAGTGTACTGAATATTGTAGTGTATTTGCAATATATTTTTGGTACATATGAGATTTTGACTGTTTTTTTTTTTTTTTTTTTTTTTTTTTTTTTTATCCTAGAAAGACTAAAGTAATGGAAGTAGTCTGTATAGTATCATGCATGTGCTGAAAGAAGCAATCAAAATCTTGCTTTTCCATCTAAGCAGTGTAAAGTTGGTATAAAATTGTCAACAAATTTAGTTTTAGAAGCAATCAGTCAAAAGATTTTAAAATCATTAATTTAGTATTGTTGATAAAGTAAAATTAACTGCTAGTAGAAGCATTATTAAAACCTTAAGGAGGTCTCTGTGGAACAGCAAGGAAACTCGCTGTAATTGCTTATTTCTTTTCAATGAATTTGAAATTATTTGTATGATTTAATTTCTGAAAATTTTAAAGAATGGTAGCAGGAAATAGGTGAGAGAAAGAATAACTAACTTTTTCTAGTTTAAAAAATGTCTCATTTCTGTACAATGATTTTATGAGGGAAGCAGATGATGGATAGGTGTTTATTGAGCATCTAAAGTGGAAAAGAAAAAGGATTACTACTAACCTTCTTAGACATAATTTCCAAGAGTATTTTGAGTTTCTGTATGGTTCAGAATCAAAAGTTGATCTTTTTTGCATAAATAAGGTACAGTCAGAAGTCTTTAATCCGGACGTCCATAATCCGGAATGATCTATAATCCGGACCTCAAAGCTTCATGCGCATAATACCTTTATGCATGCGGCGCATATGCGTTTACACATTCGCATGCGCGTTTAATGTATAACGGATGGTATAAGCTACGCTAAAATTATATAATTATATATTTCAGTTAATTTTGCAGATTGCGTTGTTCCTTAATCTTCTAATTGGATCCGGCTTCTTATTTTTTGCAGACTGTTAGAGGAATTTTATAGCTTGAAGTAAGCTTGAACTTTCGATTATGTCAAAAAGAATTTCCAATTCTGGAGCTGCCAAAGGATCTACAAAGCGAAAGCATGTTTCGATGTCCATCAAACAAAAAGTGGAATTGCTGCAAAAAAATGGATAAAGGCACAGCCTTTGTTTCTCTAACCATTCCGAAATCTATTTATCAATTTCACGCTGCTCTTCCGGGGGAAAGGGGGGGGACGTTGCGGCACCCAATGAACTGAAGTTGATCTGTCAGCACTATCCTTATCTTCAGGGCAGATGTTTTTATTTTATTTAGCTTATAATTCCTTACTAAATGTAGTATTTCATCTCGATGCACTCCGTCTTTGATATGATTTAAATCAAATTCCTCGTCATTATAAATATTAAGAATACACCTCAAATAGTTTTCTGGTTGCAGTTTTCTAATTCCGACTATGCGTAATGTATGCTTTATGCATGCGTGCTTGAAAGAAATGTTTAATAAAGTAAACATATAAATATTAAGCTTTTTTTTTTTTTTTTTTTTGTAAATTTTGATACCCTTTAGATCATATTTGCTCTTTATTTCATAAATTATGGTTTCATATTTTTAATTTGGCCACCAGCGCCGACGGTAAGTCCTGAACACTGGTATTCGGTCCGAGGTTCAAATCCGCGAACGGGCTGGCTGCATGGGGTTTTTGTGGTTTTCCCATGTGAACGTATATGAGCCAGTTTCCCTTAGAAAGTCCTCCACGAAAGGCATCCCTCCTCTTAGGCAGATAGCCCTAGTGTGCTTTGCCATAATTAAATACACCACACCACCATATTTTTAATTTTATAATTTCTGCATGCCATCTTACCAGAATTAAAATGATGATCTATAATCCGGAAAAACCGTTAATCCGGAATCGCCGAAGTCCCGACGAGTCCAGATTAAAGACTTTTGACTGTATATGTGTCTAAGTGCTATATCATAATAACAAATGGGTGCCATATAAAGAATCAATCTATGTATTGTGTCTTAAAGTAAAGTGTTCTAGAGGAGAATTCTGTCTTTCAGACTTGTATTTCTTCTCATTCATGTATTGAATGTGATAATAATACACTTTTAACCGATTGGTGGCTTGTTATATTGCGAATAAAGTTGTATTATAATGGCTTGTTATATTGCGAATAAAGCTAATTAGGAAGATCATTGGGATATTCTTCTGAATTATGTTAGGGTGGGTCATTATATTGAGGATCATACAAATGCAAGCTTATAAGGTATTTCTCCCACTTCCCTAGTGTGCCTTAATGGTGTAGTGGTTCTGCACTCTGGGCTGGTATTCCAGAGGTCCGTGGTTCGATTCCCAGCGAAAGCGGTTGCATATTTTTCATCTTTTCTGCTTTCATTAACCTAATTTCTACAGTAGCGCACAAACTAAAAGGGTTGTGGTGATGATTCCCGCAACCCGGATTTGTACTAGGTCCCCTAAACCCTATCCCCTTTAAAAAGGGGAGTTATTAGGTATTCTCCCACTTCCCTAGGTGCCTTTGTGGTGTAGTGGTTCTGCACGCTGGGCCGGTATTCCAGAGGTCTGTAGTTTGATTCCTGGCGAAGGCGGTTGCATATTTTTCATCTTTTCTGCTTCCAATTAACCTAATGTCTCTACAAGCTGACTTAATTAGTGCTGATCTGTTATTATGTAAGGCATCATGTCATGTTTCTGTTAGCATTGTTCTGTATAACATTATATATTTTATTGTAATTTTACTCTAATTTAAATCTTATAGTTAATTTTCATGTTGCATTCTTATTTTTTTTTTTTTTTTTCAGGTGTCATTACTACTTTAGGAGATCTTGAAAAATCCAAAAAAGTTGATAATGATGGTACAGCTAGAAGTCGCAATAAAGAAGATATTCGGCAGTACGTTGATATGCTAAAGCTAAACAATGCTGTGAGAGAAATTTTTCTAAATCGGTTTATTCACATATTTAGGTCTTATGAAAATTTTGTTATTCAACCTAACCAGGTGTGTATATGAAAGCTATGTAAACTTTGTTTATAATATTAGTTAAAGTGCTTCTATATTATTATGGCCTCCATTTTTAAGTGCCAAATTTGCACCAGGATAATCATTATGTTCACATTTACTTCTCGCATAAATTTGTGGCTGCCATGTTTCCACAATTGCTTTTAACATGGCATGAACCGCAAGGTAAGACTTATGATTATGGCAAACAGTGCCTTGTTGATTTTCATTCCACTGTTTAAGGGAGTGCTACAGTCTTTCAACATTTTGTGTATGAGCATTTGTTGTTGGATATACAGAATGTAATGTATAGTCCACACTAAAATTTCTACACTAAAATTTCTGTAAACTGCTTTCTGTAGTTCCTCTGTTTTATATACTTACCAACAGTCTGAATAATCTTGTACATAGTCAATGATTTTTGCCATGAATATGATTATTTCTCTGTTCAGAATCTGAGGGAGAAAGAATTCACCAGTTTTTTGGCATAATCCACCAAGTATCTAGTATTATAGAGGAATAATGCCAGCTTTGTTTTTTTCCAGTATGAAGCCACTTTATGCCCACAATTTTTTTCAGAGCCACCTGTTTGTGGATTTGGTTGTCAGATTAGACATAGAGAATACACGTCTCTCATAAAACTGCTCCAGTCAATAGTTATATTTTTCTTAACAATTTTTTAACTGTATTTGTATGTTTCATTTTCTTTTATTTAATTTTTTAAATATATTTTTTGATTGATGGGGGCAGGGTCAATGTCTCAGCTTCGTCCTTGGGAAAAGTGATTCCCTATACATGTTGTACCTAGAGCTCTTCTTATAATGAGAAAATTATGAGTGAGCATGAGCTCTTAACATTTATATAAAAAAATGTACAATTAAACATAGTTTATTCAGAGCTCTTCTTGAGCTAACTATAAATAAGCATTGTTAGAATTGCAGCGATTTGAGGAGGGTTTGTGTTGGTGATTTATATATGATCTTTCTGTCATTTAAAAAGCAGGGTTGTAGTAATCAATAAGTACTTTAGCTGATATGAAAAATTATGTAGAAATGCTAAAACTTGATATATAATATGCTGCCTATTTAAAAATATTTATTTTTGAAATTTTGATTTTCAGACTGTAAGAAATTTTATTTAAATCTTGAAAAGGAAAGAAGGACCTAGAAATAATAAGATTCTAAGAATTACGTATTTTTCTGGATATAATTTTTTTATTAGTATGAAAATACAATTTTAATTCATACCTGAAACATACTGTAGAGTTGCTTTTCATGTATCTCACATAAAGAAAGTCACGTTAAGGTATATAAGGTGTATGGAATAATATAAGGTATATAAAATATAGTATAAGGTACATAAAATATAGTATAAGGTACATAAAATATGTATAAATTATGATAAGGCAATAATTTCACGAGTGACTCGAAATGCTCTGCCTTTCACTTCAGTGTAGTTTGCTAGTCAAAGCAGAAGAGTGAGATTTTTCAATTGTTTTTCCACATAAGAGGGAAATTTGGCAGCTGATATGAATATTTTTATTCTCAATTTTTCCATCAGCCAGATTTGCTTGCATTAACTGCATTCTTTAGAAAAATCCAAGAGAAATATCCAATGAATGAAGATCTTGAGACTTTAGAAATCACAACAAAAAAAGCCAATACATAGATCCAAAGGTTATATCTGAGTTTCCAAGTTTTTTTTTTTGGCTCACTAGCTTTTTTTCAGTCTCCTCTTCCCCCAGCATGTTATCTGAATTTTATGAATTCCTTGTCCCTGTTCTAATGACATATTAAATGTCTTTTGTATGTGATCTGCAGCCTCTAATTGAAAATGAGTAAAACAGTTTAGATGTTTATTTCACTTACACTGTATCATTAATAATTAAAACTCATTACATGATGCAAAATGACTTATGGAAGTATTTGTGTTAATGAATTTGAAAAACTATGTGCAGATTTCTTCTATGTGTGAGTTTTATATATTGAAAAAAATATGCTCCTTGATTGTATTGTATGTATTTTAGAATTTGAATTTTTGAATAATAGTTTGATAATTTCATTCCTTTGGAATAAAAAAACCTTTATTTATGTAGGTTATGTAGGTTCACTGCATGCAACTTACATCAACACACGAAGGACCAATTAACATGTTTTGGTATAACTGTCATAAAAATGTGTGATTTTAAGTGTTTGTTTCAAAGTGCTTGAACCAAGTTTTTTAATTTATGTGATTATTCTCTCTTCTTGTTTCTCATACTCCCTTACTATCCCTCAGACCATTAAGGCTTCTCTAAATCTCCATAGCAGCCATTTTGGAAGATAATAATAATATCATAACATAAATTATGTAAACTTGTTCATTCCATTCTTTCTGCAACACCTTGTACATTAATGAAGTAATTTCTACGCATAGTTAGATTTTTCTCTTTATCAGTAATAGCTACATCGTAAACTGTAATTTAGAATACAGATTTTGCCTTATTTTCTAAATGACTTAAGAGTTAACTAAGTATCAAGATTAGATTCTCTTTGGTCTTGATTTCATTTAAATTCATCTGATCCTTTAAAATAATTGGAATCTTTTGTAAACTTTACACATCCAACTCATAAAACTGAGCACCTAAACCAGTAATATTAAAAATTAAGTATCTCTGTCTCCTGTGGTGAAAGAAATAAATTATTTCATAAAGATTATAGAAGTGTACATTTTGAATTAATAATTTAATAGGATCTCAAAAAATTATTTTAATTTCTTAATTCCCAAGTTTTTTAATATAGATCTTTCAAGGCAATTGAAATAATTTTTTAAATAAATAATTTAGTAATTTTTAGTTACACACTTCCCTTAGTATTAAATATTTTAAATTATGAATTAATTTAAAGCCCAAAGTCCAAAAAGAAAACTTCTAGGATACAGTGAGTATCAATTTCTCTTGAGATGCTGAAAAGTATAAAATAAATGTCTTTATTTTATTGCTGTGAGCCATGTATCTGTTTTCTGACACTATAAGAATGCATTGTAAATTACTTGTACTTAATTCACTTTTGAATGTATTCAGAACAATATATTAGGTGGCACATTCCCTTACATTTAATGGTAAATTTGTAGGTATGTGGTTGGATTTTAAAGTTAAATTTACTGATTGAAACAGGAGCTTCATTGTGAATCATTTGAAATGATGTTATATTATATTTGTTTTAAACATTATGCACCAATAGAAAAAACAAGCTTTAAGAGAATGACATGATTTTGTGTTTTATTGAAAATGTGCTGCTCGACATCAATACATTCTTAATCCTCATCAACTGTATCCATTCCCTTAGCAGCTTCCCAGTTGAATGGCAAGTAAATTATTTGTAAATCTTTAAAAAATTTATATTTTATATGTATAGTACAAAGTGTGAAATTCGGACGTTCAATATCCAGAGTACAAGAATTTTTTTTTTTTTTTTTTTTTAACTTACAAAGTATAAGACTAGAAGAATATGATAATCAATAAAATGCAGGCGGACAGTAAAAGAGTTTTTCTTCCAACTAAATGAAGTCCCTGCATGTCAGTTTCATATACCTACTCTGGCTAAGGGAATCATGCTGGGGCAAGTGACAGTACAATGATTGATGTTGGACAATGACCACACTTTCAAGCTTGAATGATTGTAGAGGGTGAACATCTTTCTGCCTAATTAAACAAGAAATGCAGTCCCAAGATCTATTTGTTTGGAGTGAGATGTTGCTCATTTTGGTTGTCTTTTGTTGGCATAGCTGCAGGGAAAGTAGAAAGAATGATTACAAGAAATAGTTAACATAGCAAATTCTCTCTTCCGTAGATTTCTTAATTTGAATCAACTTATTAGTTTGCTCATTATCCATCTATTATTATTAATCTTAACAAAATTAGAGTATTAATAAATAATATTATTTCTATTTTACTCTTTCCCCAAAAGTGTACATCCATCAATCAACGAATGGCTGTTGAAATTTTACACCCATTGAAATGTAGGTTTAAAGTAGCTTTCTAAAAACTTTTACTAAATAAGACCATCCACAAATTCTAGAAATATTTTAATATAAAATATGTTGTGTAGAGCTTTACAAGATCATGACAGCATATGTCTGCACATGTTTTTAAAAATGCTTGACATAATATATAGCCAGATACCAAATTTCATGATGATAATGAAAGCTACGATTCTTAAGTTTTTAAGAAACCCCAAGTAAAAAGCAAAATTTTTTGATTACGGAAATATAAGAAGAAATGCTGAATGAAGATATGACTGAAGTTATACATTGTGATGATATTGCCTCAGTCATCAAGCTATTAACACAACAGTGAATATCTGTGGCATGGGTTTTAAATCCAGAAAATATTGCCATTTCAGCTTTGAATAACATTTTGATTTTACATGAGGGTGATTGTGCAAAATACAAAATACCATATTTACCTGGTGTATTTTCCTTCCTTTTCCTAATTTTTCCATTTCAAAATATGTACTGTATACTAAATAGGAAAATACATTGTGTATACTATTTCTGAAGAGATGGCTTGAATAAACACATTAAAAAGCATACATGAAAACTGAATAATATTGTTATATTGTGTCTTTCGAAGGATATATCAATTTCAGTAATATTCTTTTTACTTACATGAATTACTTTTCTATTTGTGCACACATTTTACATTGTTACGCTAACATAATCATATGATAAAGAAATGAAGGGAAAGTCATGAAATGAAAGGGATTATGATCTAAAGGGTATCAAAATTTACAAAAAAAAAGTTTAATATTTATTTGTTTACTTTATTAAACATTTCTTCATGTAAAGTTGTTAAATTGCTTTCTGTTTTTTGTGCTATACTTTTTTCTTTATTTCTATAAACAGGCATAATTTCTGTTCAGTTACAAAGTTCCACTGTTCAAGTCCTGTAATTGCTGTGTCGAGAATACCGACTAGCTTGTCAATCGAAATTTTTTTGTTTTCAATAACATCTCTGTCTTTTTCTTCACTATCGCTTAATTTTTATAACTATCACTTAGTTTTTATAAGTTCAAGCTTATTTTTATGAAATTGCTCTAACCGTCTATAAAAAATTATAAGCCGGATCCAATTAGAAGATTAAGGAACAGCGCAAAATTAAGGAACATTAACCAAAATGCCTTAGAATCAGTAAAGATAATTTTAGCCTAGCTTATACCGTCCATTATACATTGAACGTGCATGCATAAATGCATTACGAACATGCGTAAAGCGTACAAAAAAAAGTTTGAGGTCTGGATTATAGATCATGCCGGATAATGGACGTCTGGATTACAGACTTTGTATAAAAAACATCGCAGTAAAGATGCAATTGGATTTATGTTAATTATTATTTAGGGATTAGGTTAATTTCAGTTAGTTATTTTAAAATTAATGCAATTGGATATTATTTCTTGACTGATTGAAAGGCATGCAACAGTAGAAAATAAAGAAAAATTCTTCCTGAATGTTCTTAGAGGTGATTTTACATACAGAAAAAGAAATCACCTCAGTCCATTAAATCAGGTCTTTGAAAAAAAGATGCTCAAGTAAATGTCAAGTTCAATTTCCCGTTGAAATATTACTTCTTAGTGAAAAGTGGAAATATTATAGAGTGTAACTTTATAGTGTACTATATAACTGCTTAGTTGTTCTAAATGCTTAAATATATTACAAATATTAATTTTAATTACAGTTTTCCTACTTATAGATGTAAAATGAACCAAAAAAGTAATTTAAAATAGTGACTTTTTTTTTTTTTTTTTGAATTCAGAAGAAAAAATGTTTTAAGTGGTTTAAAGCATTATATCTTAGTTTATTTGTGACAGTGGATTCCTTTAGTCTTCTTTATGTGTATATTAACTAAAAAAACTATATATGATCCTATATTCTTATCATCCAAATACATCAGTGAGACATGGGATTTCACATTATGTTGTAAGTATCACGGCACTCTTTGTTTTAGATCTACCACGATGAATTCTTGAAAGGAATGCGCTGAGGTTTGTAGTATCGTAAAATACTGGTATGTTATAAAGGTACAATACATTTACTTTTGCAACAGTTATTCAGTTTTTATATTGCAGGAGATGAGATACATATGTGATTATTTCTGCTGTTGGCTATATATTTATCCTTATCCTATAGATGTAATATAATTATCATAACAAAGCTGTTTTTACAGGCAGTTTGCCTTATGTGAGGTGAAATTTATAGTTTTTTTTTTATTATGTTTGGGAAGGGGATTAAAAGTTTTGTTTTTATGAAAAGTGTTTTTTGAACTAGGAAAATTTTTGCAGATATTTCAATGTATACCAAATGATGTGTGAATATATCTCAGTTTTTATTTTATTTTTAAGTATTTGCTATTCCTACTTAAAATATTATCTTTCCCATTTTTAGCATGATATGGAACAGTGGTTGAGTACTAGAGAAACTATGCAAAACTTTGATAAAACAACATTTCTGTCAGATCAACCTGAGCCTCACCTTCCTTTCTTGTCTCGATTTATTGAAACTCAAATGTTTGCAACATTAATTGATAATAAAATAGTTTCATTATGGGAAGAACCAGACCCATATTTAAAAGTAAGTTTCTTTGTTATCAAGTTCTCTTTTTAGAAAGATTTACAAAGTAAGTTATTTTAAAGATTTTATTTTATCTGTAGGTTGTCTGATTTTAAAAAATAGTATTGAATTTGAAATATGTGTTTGTGTGTATATTAATATAAATTTAAATATATACACACACACACTGCTGGCCATTAAAATTGCAACACCAGGAAGGAATAATCTGATGAGCATCAAAGTCACATGAAAAGGAGAAGAGGTTGGGATATGCAAATGATTAATATTTCAGTGCATTTAGATTATGCAGGAGGGAAAAACAACGCCTGAAGCACTGCATAAAAGAAAAATTGTGTAGTGGATTTCTCATTCGGAAAACGCTTTGTAAGGTGAGAATTTGTTCGGAATATCATGTTATGCTTCGAATAGGAAGAAGAAATGTTTACCAGCAAATGTCGGAAATTCAATAGGGGCAGGATCGTTGCCGATTGAGAGTGTGGATTATCATTCCATGATATTGCCTGTCACACTGGTCGACATCCAACCACTGTCATGCGAATATGGAATCAGTTGATTGCTGAGGGTCATACTGAACAGCATGCAGGATCTCAATGCCCTCTTATGATTAATGCTCGAGAGGAGAGACATATTGTGAGGTAATCTCTGCAAAACCACACAACCTCATGGTGGACCATTAGTCAGGAATTGGGCATGTTTGCAGCACGCCCAGTATCCGCTTGTAGGGTGCATCAATGTTTGCAGCAGCGGGGACTGTCAGGACGGCAGCCATTACTTCGTCTTCCCTTGACAATGCAGCATAAAGAGAGATGGCGACTCTGGTGCCTCGAACAGCAAAGCTAGATGCAGGAGTGGCATAATGTGATCTTTTCAGATTCATTCATTCTGATGCCCGCATACCTGTCTGAAGACCTCAAGGAGACCGCACATCGCCTGCTTGCATTCGATATCTGCATAGGGACCTTGCACCTGATGTGATGGTTTGGGTAGCCATTGGGTACATGATATGCACATCTCTAGTTAGGATCGACGGTAATTTGAATGCAGATCGGTACGTTTCTGACATCTTATGTCTAGTGGTTGTGCCCTATCTTCGAGGCCTGCGAAACATCATCTTTCAACAAGATAATGCAAGATCGCATGTTGCATGTCATGTTCTGACCTTCCTCGATACACAGGGTATTCGATTGCTGCTGTGGCCGGCACGGTCTCCAGATCCGTCACCCGCTGAAAACATCTGGTCATGGATTGCTGAAGACTGGCCTGCAACCCCTCTCCAGCTACAGTCAATGATATGTGGTATAGACTTGAAGTAGCATGGAATAAGTTACCTGTTTGTATCATCTAAGCTCAGTTCAACTCCATGCCTAACCAGGTAAGGGCCGTTTTAGTTGCCAGGGCTGGCAGATGTTTCTACTAATTTCACACCCTTGTAAACCCGCAGACTGCTTACAAATTTGATCATTTTGTCTTCATGCCATACTGTATATCCACAATAATTATCTTTTTTGTATTTGTTTTCCTTCATGGTGTTGCAATTTTAATAGCCAGCTGTGTACGTGCATGTTTCAAAAATTTACATTTGAGATTTCATATTTCTGGTAGATAAGCCACTCTGCCATATATGTTGCACACATGATAATTGACTGAAAAGAAAATAATTCATTTATTGAGTAATTTCTATCCATATTGATGTAATCATCATTGATAACATTGTATAATATTTACAACATAACTATAAACAGTAATAATGTATGAATAAACAAGAAGATAAACTTCTTACCTTCTATTTGTCAAAAGCAAACTCTGCTGATTTTTAATAGAAATTATTTTTGTGGTTTCTGTATTTATCATTATAAATTACCATATTATGAAAAGAAATACATAAATTAGATGATAAGACAGTAGTTAAAGTGAACTACATTTATTTATACAAAACATTCAAAGTCCAACTTATCTGCGTCAAATAAATAATCTTAATAAATGACCATTCATCACCTTTCATCACTCTTTCAGCATCATTATCCTCATTTTCATTTTCTCTTATGATGATTTCTGATTTAATGAAAACTGCTGCAATCATATCAGGTCGGACTGATTGCCATGCTTTATTGACCTCTAAAGCGACCTGCTTATATGAAGCTTTTGTCATCCATCTAGAATTTGTGAAGGAGTGGAGTCTGCTTTACATCCATTGCTCGCGTTACTTTCACAGCTCGTGCTTGAAAATTCTATTGATGGTGAGATCCAGGGGCTGTAGAATTTTCATAAGTGCACCCTTTTTTCCCCCTCCCCTTCAGATTTTATTGTATCCTCTAAATGGGATCACATTGAATCCAAAATAATGAGTCTCCAAGGTTGGAAAAAAGCTTATTTCCTTTTCAATAAATTTCTCTCAGCCAAACCAACACTTTTTTGTGCATCTATCCTTTTTTCTAGCTGTAAATAATGGCTAGCTCAGAAAAGTTTCCTTTTGTAATTGTTTTTCTTTTGAAAATTATCAAAGTGATTAACTTATCTCCAATGACAGCATAACCTGAAACATAAGTAAAAGAAGTATTTTCAATCCCAGTTGTTAACACAATAGTTTTTCGCCTGTTGAATGTACATTTCTGCTTGGGGGGCAGTCAAAATTAGCTAGCACTTCATCCACATAATTCTTTGCCCTTTATGCAAATTTTGTAATTTAAATTTTTTAGATGTGTGCTGCCAAAAAGTTATCTTTTTTTTTCTTTTTTTCCCCCCCCAAAGCAGTCCACAGGAAGCTTCTATCCAATCGTGGTTTTTGTCTTGTTGAATAATATCTTTTGTTTCATAAACCTGAAATACCAATTGGGTCCTCCGACAAAGTTTTTAATGCCCATTTGTTGAGCAATTACTTTTGCTTGTAGGCAGATTCTAACTGTTGACACTAATAATCCCTTTTCTCTTTACTCTGTTGTCGATTTCTCTAAATTGTCTTCCAAACAAGACAGGCTAGAATACCTGACCGACAAGATATTTTATTCTTAGACATGTTCTGTAATTCTTGTTCAGTTTTTCCACCTCTGATTGCGTCTCTCATCAACTTGAAATTCTCAAGCCATAGCCACATATCTAATCTCTGCCATTTTCTTCATTGCCAAAATTTTAAGAGCAGCTGTACAGCTTTCCTTGAGAGTAGGAGCCATTTTGATGATGATAATTTTTAAAATTCAACAAGCATGAATGATGATGTAAGCACAAACTAAGTAAGCACTAAACAGATCACAAAATAGTGACACGTGTAAGAGTGAATACAAAACATGGCAAAATAAAAGTTCCTCTGACTGTTAAAAACAAAGATGGTCATTGGAAAATATAGACAAAAACATGGGGTTCAGCAGGAAGTAATACATTATGGTGTCTTGAAACCTTGCACATTTTGCCATAGCTAAGCATGTTTCATGCAAGTCTGAAATTGTTGCAATGCCTTATAACAACCTGAGCACTCGTACCAGGCTAAAGTGTCACATTTAATCCTGTGTTAACTGTTTTGCTTGTGCATAACACAGGATCTAAACTAGTGAGGTTCTAATGACAGAGAAAAAGTAAAATTCCTTTAGATAACTCTGCAGGCCTAAATTTTCAACTTTTAAATATGTAGAAGCTGCAGCTTATCAATCCAAAATTACAGTAGTCTGAAATATTAGCTTAACTTATTTATATCTTCCCCCTCTCAAAAAAGTATAATATCAAATTTGCCATAAATGCAAAATGTATCTCTTATTTTATGCTAGATTTTTTCCTTAATTATATGGGTATTAAAATTTTAAATTCTGAAAATTAGTATAAATTCCTGAAAAAAGTTTAAAATAAAAAGTTACTTTTGAGGTTAATTTTTTTTTTAATTTGATCTTTTGATGTTAAACATAAGATTTTGAAATTTTTTCATAGTCAGGACAATGTCAAAGCATTTTTATATAGCTGTCCAAGAATTTATATTCGAGGATAGTATAAAATGCAACTCTAATTAAAATTCTAAATATGGAGTTTAATGAATTAATTAAAGTAAACAGAGTTTATTTTATTTTCGAAGTCTAATACAATAGTCTGTCATTAGGGTTAAAATATTTTCTGTTCCTTTCTTGCAAAGAATATTAAACAGAAAATTGAAACCAACCTGGCTTACACCAGTTTGAATTCAAATCATGTAATTAATTAAAAATCGAACAGACTTTCTTAAGTTATATTAAAATATTTTGCTTCATAGCTTTGATTTTTTTTTTATATGTGTTTTGTGTAATATCCTTAGTTTCCTTGCCATTTTCGGTTATTTTAAAAAGATCCAGCTTTACTTATGAATGAATCTCCCTTTAATTTTTGTTTTAAAAAAAAATTACATGTAATGTTTACCTCCCCCTTCTTTTATTTTATTTTTGCTACACACATGTGTGTCAGATGCTAAGAAGGAGAAATAAATTGTAGTTAAAATATAGCTATTAGTATAATTTCTATATTATGCATTGATTAATATAAATTGCCTGCTGATTTGGCATTGTATTTGGCCAGTATAACTGAATAACATTCAGATTATTTTTGCATCAATAATCCACAGTGGTCAGTTTCTGATTTATATGCATTACTAATGCCATTACCAAAAATGGGTACTTATGTATTATCCCATTGACTGTTGGCGAAATTTTGGCAGCCTTTGCCAATTATCAGTCATTTCTGCGAAATTCTAAAGGACATAGTCATCCATATTTGGCCGGTCAAGGGGAGAATACGCAAGTACCCAAAAATGTAATGTGTAGTCATATGTAAATGTTAATGAGCTATCAATTGAAAATGTTTGGAATATTAATTGAAAAATTAGTTTTTCCAAATTAATTGTGACTGTAAAACTATACAATATTTATATAATTTTTAATAAAAAGAGTGTTTATGAAGTAAATATGTGTATTAATTGCTTATAGTATTATCATTATTTCACAAATAGTTATAGGTACTTACGTATTAACGCAACCAGGCCAAAATTCGCATAAATTGCCAAATTTGGCGACCCTACTTACGGCAACCCTACGTGTTATACGTAGTTTTGTAAAAAGAATTTATTTGTAAAAAGAAAAATAACACTGGGCGTGTACTACCACAGCAATGGGTTTTCTGCGGAATTTGCCGAGAAAAGAAAGAGACTTTTTTGGTTACTGTACCTAACAGAAGCGCCGTTACCCTCATGGAAAAAATTATTAAATAAATATTAATGAAGGAAGCATCATTTATTCGGATTGCTGGAAAGGATACAATACAAGTGAGTTCGAAAATGCTGGATTTCTGCATGTAACTGTTAATCACAAATATAACTTTGTGGATCCCAACACGAGCGTTCACACACAACATGTAGAGCGCATGTGGGGCTCAGCCAAATAGCGCAACAAAAAACAGAGAAGAATAGCTCGTCATCATCTTGACTCATACCTTATCGAATTTATATGGCGCCAAGCTCAAGCTGTTAATGGCGAAGACGGTTTTCAATCAGTGCTAAAAGCAATAGCCAAAAGATTTCCACCAAAAAAATAATTCTGCAACTTATTCAAATTCGAAACCAGAAGCGTTTAATTGCTATTTTATATTTTGAAACAAAATAATATAAAAAACTGTATTAAAAATTATCTGTAATTAATAAATGTACATTTTCTTTCTATTCATACTTTTTTACTCAAACTTACAAATCGCGCCAAAGTGGTTGCGAGAATACGCAAGTACCTAGTTATACTTAATAAATGCATTTTGGAATGCTTTGTTGTATCATAAAAGAAAATATGTTTTGAGGCATTTAATTACATGTGTGAGTGTACATACATCCTTATATTCTTATGTAAGGATTAATCAATGTTCAGAATTTATTATATGAATATGGTGTGAAACATTCATATAAAAAATGAAAATATATGTAACATTTAATTATTCATTTTTATAGATATTTGATACTCGAATTCGATTATTGAATGGAGAACACTGTGGTGATGGCACTGTTAGAGTTCCAACATATGAAAGGAGTCCTACATATGAGAGGTGTACCACATATCAAGAAACAGGTATTATAAATGAAATTTCTCTTTTAATTAAAAATTATAAGTAATAGGATAACTATTGATGAAAATAACTGCCTTTTTTTCAACTTTCAGTTATTCAGAAATTCAATAAAGAAAGATAAAAGAAGACACTTTTTATTTTTAAGTGCAAGAAATGCATCATGTTTTAAAATACTTACATTACTTTCTTATTTTACTGTCTGCATTCTTTATTTCCTTAGAAAAAGTACTGAGCTTTTGGGTACAGTGTAATTGCATTTATCTTACTGCTAATAGTTTCATATCAAAAGAATTACCTGTGTTCAAAATGTTTGTGAAATATTAATGTCATGTAATTGAAGATTCAGATAATTGAATTTAGGTGTTAGAGAGCATAAGCATGTTTACAAAAGTCATGCCATGACCATTTTACTTTCCAGATTTCTTATTCTCTGATGCCATTGTTCTCTCTTATTAAGATATATCTACTAATTCAGAAGTCAAACAACAAAAATCAACATTAATTTTCAAAATTTTCACAGAACTAGTTTCGATGGTTTTACCGAACCACCATCCTCAGCTGCAAAACCACAGCAGCTGAGGATGGTGAATCGAAACTAGTTCTGTGAAAATTTTGAAAATTAACGCTGATTTTTGTTGTTTGACTTCTGAATTAGTACTTATTCGGCGTGTTATTGTGTCTTAAGATATATCTAGTCAGAAACATTAAATGTTTTTTATAGAATTACATTATATACTTTTTCAACTATATAAAAGATATATAGCTTTCTCATATTAGTCTGTATACTCATCTAAAAACCTAAAAAATCTCATCTAGTAACGTATAAATCTCTTCCACCTGAGCCATTTCTGCTGGTAATCTCTACTGATAAACCATATTAAACTTTAAAAGAGTCCCCCCCACCTGACCATTAAAATCTTAACTTTTTTTTTTTTTTTAACATTTAAAATAGAACTGATGTACAAGCATTTTCTGCAAACTTTTTAATCATAGGAGTATTATAAATTTCATTTATCATATATAAATATCGTTTTTTTAATTACTTATCTGAAAAGTTATAATATGTATTTTTACCAGAAACTCATATTGAAAAACGAATCAATAATATTGACATCATTGCACCTCCTCCTAAGGCCCTTGATGTGGCTTCTGAGTACTCCAGCCGGAAAAGGCATACTCCAGGAACTTTTCCTTTATTAGATGGGGACCTTTTAAATGAAGAACCTATTGTGAATAGGTAAGTTGAAGAAACTGAGCATTTTTAAAATGTAATAAACTTTTGGCAACAGATCAAGCATGTCTTAAATCTGCTTATTAGATCAAGGAGAAGAACAAGTGCACAATGGAAGCGAAGGGATCGTCGAAACCAACATGCAGAACATCTACAAATAAATTCTGGCCAGAGAGAGGTAAGAAATTCTGTTAAACTTTTATGTATATTAGTATTTGTTAATGTACTTGACCATTATCATGAAGTAATAATTTGTTCTGTGCTTTATTCGATGCTTAAATTGCACCAGAGCCCAGCTCCGATGCTTCTGAATTTATTAGATAAACTGTGATTTTTATCGGAACACACTAAAGTCTTAAATAAGAGGGCACTGGAACTTCTTTTATGTAACTGAACCACAGTTTCAGCTAAAAATTTCTTTTGTCTCAAAAATTTTATTTTGATATAAGTAAGCCCTAAAAATTACTGAATGCATGCCTCTCCTTTGGAAATAAACCTTGGATGGAGTTCAAGATTTTTAAGGAAAAAAAAATGCCCCCACCCATATGCCACAGGTTTATTCCCTAGGAAGTGCACTGAATTTATGACAGGAAGTAAATTTTTGACTCCTAAAAATTCTGGAAGTGATCACTGTGGTTGTCTGTGTTGCGGGTGAGCAACTTCTGTCTAAAGAATATACTTTTTAGAATGATATAACCAAATAAAGGGGATGAAAATTGTCACTTGTACGGAACTTTATATTTGCTGTCAGCTAATTCTCAGGTTTTATGAAATTTTTCCTCCTGTCACATTTTGCTTGACATCTAGAATTACATGGGCAGAGGATTGGGTTAAAAGGTGTACTTTTCTCTCTTAGTTTTCATACCATATTATTCTCCATTAAAATTTCCTTCATACTGTACTGCTGTTTCTAGTAATCTCTCTATTTTTGTTAATGGCATTTTATCCATTTTATCTTTTTTTAAATATGTTTGGAAGAGTATGTTTTTAAGTATGTTTGAAATTCGGAAAAGAATGGTTTTTGCTTTTATCATTTTTGAAATGGTATGTTGTACTGTATATTCAGACTTTAAATTCAGTCCGAAATTGGCTTCGTTTTTTTTTTAAGTTTTTGAATGAAATTCTAATTCCAGCTAGATCCCAAAATAAAATGATATCCATTATTTTATTTTATTATTTAACACAATTATCTTTGGTTTAATTTATTAAAATTTTATTTTTCTTAAAAATTAGATAAAACATCTCCCTTCCCCCCTTTTTGCGTGTGTTTAAAATACAGAAAATGCTGTTTTTTATCTGTTTCTCTATTTCTCCATTACCTCTGTAACTCAGAGGCTATTTCCTCCCTTTTATATGTATGTATTTATGGTAGCAGTGGTAGAGAATTTATTTACCATGTGACTACACAATGATTTTAAACTGTTGAGTTTGCTGATCAAAACATCATAAAATTGGCATAAAATGTTAAATAAAAAATTTGGCCTTCGAGGTGCACATGTTCGTGTGGAGGACTACATGCATTCAAAATTTGGTGTCTGTAAGTGTCATTGTTTTCCTATAATGCATAGAACATACATATAGATTCTTCATTATTTAATAATAATGAGTATTATCCTCAGAAAAGTAGCTGTTGCCATTCTTCGTGTATTTACTAAAGAATATCTGTAACAAATTCCTTTTCACATTTTTGATACTATTTGAAACAGGAATAGCCAGGAAAATTTATCTGCATAATTTTTTTTCAAGAGATGATTTTTTTAGTTTGCTTTACAATTATCTCTGACTTGTTGTGTGATAGGAATTCAAATAAAAGTTACACTTAATATTTTTAGTTAGATTCCCCATAAACATTCTGTGTACCCATGCCATTATTTTTTTCCTGAGCTGTATTGTACTCTTTACCAAGAAACCAAAAATTTTAATTCCATGCCCACACTGTACTTGTACCATTTAAACATACTTTATAACTTTTTAGATTCTGAGTAAAATTTATTTCGTAATTCATTTTTCCAGCATCATAATTATTTTTATTGCAAAATAAGTTTTTTTGTAGAGCTGTATTCCACAGCCAGCCATTTACTGCACAATCACTGTGCTAATTATATATATATATATATATATATATATATATATGTTATACATACACACAGTGCAAAGTCTGAAATCCCTCTGTCCAATATTCAGAATGATCAAATATCAATTTTAGTGAAAATAATATATTTGTGTTTTCCTTTTTCACGTATAAAGAAAGAGTGCATATTTTTAATTTAAAATTGTAATTTTTAAACTAATGTCTATATTAATGTACTTAATTTCATGTTTTGATGAGTAATTTGTAAATTTTATGTTTTAAATCATAATGTATTTCCCTCTACTTTTATTTTAGGTTGTAGCATATAAATATGTAATACATTAACAAATGCTTTAAAAAATGTGCAGTATATATTCAAATTATGCACATCATTCAACACACCTTTGGACTACCAACTGAGAAAAAAAATAAAGTATAGAAAATCATAAAATGGATAACATTGATTCAAAATACCTGCTTCCTCTCAATAAAGGTATGCTGTAAAAGTGATTTTTCTCCAGACTAACTGACACTCCTGCATGCCATAGTCAAATACCTGCTGGGTAGGAAAGTGGCACTGTGGCCATCGACAATATGATTGATTGATATAATATTGATGTTGGCCAAGGTCACATTTTTTACCCTTGAGTGGTTGTGGGGAAGTGAGCATCTTCTGTCTCACCTAACTGTAAAGGAACCCTCAATGTTGCCATATCTACATGTTATCATATTAAAGTGATGATATAAAATCTGGAAATATCAGAAGTCTGCAACTGCTGATGATTTTGGATCTCTGACTTTATACTACGAGTAGCACTGTTTTGAACACTTGCTAAACACTGACAATTTTGCAATATCTAATTTTTATTAGGGAAATTTCAATCAATCTTCTGGTTAATGTTTGCCATTTCTTATTGTTTCAACATGTGATCCTTAATACATAGTTTCAGGCATTTTAAACAGTTAAATAAGTGCAAGGCTAATATTTTTTTGTGACTTTATAGTTACATCGCAATGTAGTTCTCTGTATGTATTTCTGTCAAGTAAGCTGTCTGCTTGAGCATTTTCATAATTTTCTCCATGTGTAACACAAGTGTTAGTTAGGTGTGTTTTTTAACTATATATAGCTTATTTTTTTTTTTTACTTCCTTGTAAAGGGAATATTGCAATCGCAAAAAAAATCCAGGTATCAGATTTCAACGGATATATCCATTTTGACCATTCTTAAGTCCATTTTGACTATTTTTTTGCATAACATCTACATGATTGGGCATAATAAAGGATTCTTTATTTCAAAACATGGCAAAATGGGTTCACATTGAACTCCTAATGGATTTTTCATGACATCGGTGCGTAGGTATGTATCTTACATAACTCGAAAAATGATTAGCCATAAAACATTGAAATTCTGCACATGGAACTACTATAACATCTATATGTGCATCTCCTTTTTTTTTACTGCAATCAACAGTACTAAAGGTATATATTCCCACCCTCTTTACCCGCCTTAAAAGTCCTTACCCAGCTTTTACGTTCACAGTCATCTGTTGTAGTTATATCACTACTTTGGAAGAAAACCGGCATAATTCTGATTGCAAAATTCCGATTGTTGACTTATGTCATAATCAAAACAAAAATGTGGTATATTTTTATGTGAAAAGGTGTCCTTAATGTTATTAGTTATGCTCTTCATAATCAATTAAACTTTAGTTAAATCTTCCTGGTAGTTTTTTTCTAAACTAGTGGTTTTCAAATTGTGCTGCTTTTCTTCCAAAGTAGCAATATGCTTCGTATTGCAAAAGTGTTTTAACTGATGAAAATGTTCATGTTTCAGGAATGTCAAATTTAAAAAAATAATAATAATTTTGCTTAAATTACAAAACGTAACTTTTAATGCAGTTTCCTGATTTCTGTATTTATATTTGGAAAAGTTTTATCCTTGTTATGAAAAAATAAAAATACAGGAAGTTGACTCCCATACAACAAAAATTTACCAGGATATTTAATTTCAAAATTTGTAATTTTTTATGTCATTTTCAATTTGCTGCGAGGAATTGTTTAATTAAGTTAGAATAGTTTTAAAAAAAACGTTTAAATGAAGTGCAGCAAAAAATGTGCATAATTTAAAAGTTCATGCAAGAAAGTCATGTCCACATCAGTGTTGCCCCCCTATATATTTAGTTTTTAAATGTTTAGTTCAAAATGTTTTCATATAAGTTTGAGTCTGTTTTAATTTAATATATGTGTTCTGTATTGCAATCATTTTATGTCATTTCTGAAAACTCCTAACCATTTTTTAATATACCTTATTAATATTTAATAGGTAAATGTTTACTAAAATGCAAGGTTATGGGAATGTGCATTCTTATTAATTTAATTTACAAGCATGCTTTAAAAGGTGTTTGTCTCTTTCGTGTATCTTTTTGTGCTACTTTATTTTTTTTTTTTTTAAATAATTTTTCTGAGCTGTTAAAAAATAATGCCTTTAGTATTGTAACTTAACTGCATGTATAAATGTCTATGGTCTGTGGTACTTTTGTCGCATGATATAACTTTAACAATTATGTTTCATCTGTTAGTTTCACCTTGCTGAAAAACATGCCAGTCTATGGAAAGTGAGTACTACCTGCTGCATGTTTTCCCTTAGCTGTTTGTGGTTTTCTCTAACTAGTTTGTGATGAACTTAGCTTTTTTTCCTTTTATGTCAGGCTTTTAATATATGAAAGCTAGTATTTAAAAATTATCCAACAGAAGATTAAAAATTTGCATAGCCTCTCAGATATCAGCAATGAAATTCGCATATAGTAAAACAACAAAATAATTCTAAGTTCCAAACAAAAATTCAGAGATGCATAGCAAATGATGTCATAGAAGAGGTTTTAGAAGGTATTTTACTCTCCTGTTTCATTGGGGAGGGGGAATAAAAATGCAGTGAGATAAAAAGATTAAAATAAAACAATGTATCATAGAATTACCTGAATGGTTTTGATGATTGTTAGTGACTCTTGGACATTATTGGTGACATGTTTCCTCAACTATCTTCCATATTCTCTTTATTATCACCATTATAACTATTATCAAATAAGTAGCTGTTATCAAAAGTCACAAAACTTGGACTTCTTAATTGAAGATTAACATGTGCTCTTTCAGTCAGGCAAGACTGCAGTCATTTGAATTTTTTATTTTAACAAAACTAAAACTAGTACTTTTTTATTATGTGGTGTTAGTATGGCTGTTTCTGTATAAATCCATGATTTTTCTGAGGGTAATATTGAAGGAATACATTTGAATACAAAAATTATGTAATTCTTCATGAAATAATGACTTTGTATAATTTTAGGGAATAAGGGGAGAAAGAAGAACTTTCCAAAGTTTTAAAAGGGAGTTTTGAAAAATATTTTTAAAAAAATTATCTGCTTTTTATTTTAATTTACTTCTTATATGAAGTTGAAATATACTCTGTATAAAAATAGTTTTAAATAATTCTCCATATTTATCAAATTCACATTTTCTATGAAAATGCCAACTAAAAACTATAGACAGTTTTAAATTTGTTGTTGTTCTTTTTTTAAAAAATACACTGATTTTTTATTTATGACCTGAAATTCTTACAAATTTAACCCAGACTGTGCAGATTGTTGGTCTTCTATTATGTATGTATAGTTTCTAAATACTGGCTCCAATTTCATTAAGTAAAATATTTAATGTTTCAGATTTTATTTTAGTATATATTGCTATATTTTTATTTGGTATTAGCTATATTTGCATATTTTTCTTAATTGCAAAAATTATGTGCCAAATCTAATCAAATTTCCCCAAAATCCAATTAAAAATAATTGAATATTTGATGAGGAAATGTCCCATTTTCAAATTTTGCTTATATATGTTGTCCCAGAAGAAAAAAGAAAATTCAAGATAAATTATGTTTATCTTGAATTTAATTTAAGTTTAATTTAAGCAATGCATTCTACAATTCTACAATATATTTCTACAATTCAAAATATAAAACAATCAATTGAAATTTTTTAGATATTAATCTTAAAATATATGATCATAGGCAAAAGTGCCTGTCCCTTGCAAGTTTCATGGTATTCAGCCTCTTTGTTTTGTAACCTACTTTATTTTTTTAAATAAAGAAGATTAATTATTTTAAATATGAACTATTAGGTGTTATATTCATAATAAAAATTAATTACTGAAGTTTTTTTTTTTTTTTTTTTTTTTTTTTTTTTTTTTTAACAAATCACTAGAAAAATAATTTGTGATCCACTTCATTTCAAGTCCGTTGTCTTGAGATAATTTTACCCAAAATTAGTTTGTAAATCTGTTTAAAAGGGGCATTATGTATTCAGTGACACAGATAAACTAGTCAAGCTAAGTTTGACTACTCTGAATATGTGCTGCCCCCCTTTAGACAGATTTACAAACTATTTGGGGGTAAAAGAATATCAAGGTAACAGACTCAATAGTGGAAGACAAATTATTTTTATTGATTTGCTAAATTTTTATCTAAAAATTTTCAATTCTTTTTTTTTTTTTTTTTTTTTTTTTTTTTTTTTTTTCAAATTTTAAGTTGTAGAAATATATTTATAGTCATTTTATGCAATGCATTGCCCAAATTAAACTTTAAATATTAATTTATCTTGCATTTTCTTTCTTTTATTCTGGGACAGCATATATAAGCAAAATTTGAAAATGGGCCAAATGCATCTTAATTAGTATTTAATGTAGTATCGTAAATATGACGCAGTTTAAGAATATTAATTAAATTGATAGTACTGTAATTCTGGCAACTGTAATGAATAATATATTATTGTGTTAGATTTAGATTATAAAGATCAAAACTTCAAATTAAAAATTTTTGAGTATATGTATTATATTGAAAAGAGTGATGGTTTTGAAAAATTTAATAGCTGCATTTATTTCTAAAATTGAAAGGAATAATCATGTATAAATCAAAATTTTTGTAACATATGGTAAACTATCTAAATTTCAACAAATTGAAAATGGATATTGTAATAATTATTGTATGGTGTATTGTTTTAAGAATGATTTTTTGAGAAGTGCTTTATTTAAAGCAAATGAGGATTTTTTGAGATCTCAAAAAATCATTCTTTTTATTTAGAAACAAGTATAATAGAACTGCAGCTATCTGAATTAACTTACACCGTAAACCATTTGCATAACTGAAAAATCTAGGTAACTGGATTTTATCCAGCAGGTGAAATACCTACATACTTTTTTCTGCCATGCAAATAAAGGAATTGTGCTTTGTCATTTTCCTTTTTTTTTTTTTTTTTCTTATATATATCACAATAATTGATAATAGTTGTAATAATAATCAGTTTAAAAAAACTTGATTAAGAAGAAAGCATTGATATTTTTGTATATGTTAATGAAAGGATAAAGTATCTGAGATAAAAAATATTTTTTAGTTATGTTAATTGCATTAGTAGCTATAATGGAAAATTCCATGTAATAATTTGAGTTCTTAAATCTGAAGTTTGAAAATTAAAACTTTTGTTTTTAAGTTTTAATGTAGTTTTTAATATTGAAAATGAGAATTTCCCCCCCCCTCGAGAGCATATTTTCAAGTAGCTAGTTTGTAGCATTTTCAAAACTTATTTTCATTATTTTTATTCTTTTAACATGTATCTGATTCAGTATTGTTTTAAAAAATTACAGAAATACATTCAAGAAGCCAGAACAAAAACTATGCGCAATCAAAAGCATTTTGATGTTTCTCCAGCATCTATTTCCCAAACATACTGGAAGTTTGTGGTTGCTTTGCTGAAGGAATGTAAGATGAGGGTAAATATAAATTAGAATATTCATATATATGATGTTTAAAGGTTGATGCATACTTTGAGATTGTCAGTTGTTAGATGCCTTTCACTGTTAACAGTGCAGCTATCTAAATTTTTTGCATTATATGTCCAGCCTAGTTTCAGATTCCTTTTCATTCTGTTAGCGGGACGTTTGCATTTTCTCCATCCTCCTCTCTGTCGTAATTATTAAAAGTTTCCCCACTTAAGAGGTAATGACTTCCCTATAACACTTATATTCTTTCTTTGGACACTGTTGCAGAACATTTTCAGTCAGTGCGACATGCTAATGCCAGTGCAATTCCATAGCAAATGTCCATACAGTGTTTCTAAATTTCTGATTTATAATGCTGAAAAATGTCATGTTTTGATGTAACATTTAACATAAATGATACATGTTTAATTGAGGGCAAACATGTTTTAATATAATATTTTTAGAGATCTTCAGAGTACTTTTGGAATACATTCTTTGAAATACCCTTACGTTTCACTATGATTTTATTTTTCTAGCATTTTGAACACAGTTGCTAGCCTTTAATTCATACTATCTTATAAAACAGATGTAGCTTGATGTGAGATCATGTGAATTTGGCAACCAGAAGGAGTTCTCTTTTTGTAAGAAATTAAGAAACCAATAGCAGTTTGTTGTCATGACCAATATCAGGTATTATCACACCAGGCCATCCAAAAGTGAGACTAAAGACTTTTTTAATTGTATCTTCAATATAAAAAAATACCTGACCTATGCTACAATTGTTTTAGCCCAAAAGAGTGTTACCTCAGTAGGGCTGTTAGTCTCTAAATGGGATTTAGTGTTGAATCACTGTAAAAGGCTGAATCACTTTTCAAATTGTTGCGACCAAATATTATCGCCCTATATTATTTTAAAGGAAGTTAAGTAAAGGAGAATGTACATGAATGTAGGTATATTTCTCTCATTGTGAAAATGATGGTACCTATAGAGCTATCAAATTTTGAAAAACGTAATCCATAATTTTGAATAACGAACATGGGCATCTAGAAGCCCGAATTTGAATTTTAAATTTGTTTTTTTATCTGTTCCACATTTTGTGAAACTTTAAGAATTTTTTTTATTAGCAAACTCAGTGATTTCAAGGCAATCAATGGCAATGCTATACAGGAAAAAAAACATTTTTATCTCCAGTATGCGAGACTGCCTATCGGAAATTCTAAAGATATGCTTTTTTTAAATATTTTGTGATATTGCTGTTGAATTTAATTTCACGTGGTTTAAGTGCAACAAATATAATTTTTAATAAATAAAGGTAACACACAATACATTAAAAACTACTTTGGTTTTCCGCCACCCCCCACACAACTTCAGTATGCTTTAGGAGTAAAAATTGTGGGTATTATTAGCACAATAAGGCTGTTTTCACATTTAAAAAGATTTGAAAAAATAATTCTTTGTGTCAGTTTTTCTACTTTATCACATGATCTAAAATAACTAGGCACTGCAGATGATTAGGGTTCTCATATTATTAAAACAAGTACTTCACAACGAACATGGAGGTAAATTTTTTATGCTGAATAGTTTTTGATGGTTGAAAGGTGAAGAATGCCGTTCTTTTACACAAGGGAAAAAGAATTGTACATCTAAGTGAAACTGGTAAAAAATTGTTGCAAACAGTTTGTTGATCTAAATAGGAAGATGTGTGGTAATGCTTTGCCATAATATTTTAATAGATCAACTTTATCTGTACAGATTGTTATGAGTTATATTCATCACCCATAGTGTAAAAAATGTTTGAAAGGAGGGTATTTGACTTAATTTAAAACAATGTTAACTTAAAACAATAACATTTAGTAGTTTATTTTTTACTGGGAAAAATATTTTGTTCTGCAATATTTTGTTTGCATCATGTGAGATCAAATGGTAATGATAATAAATAATGTATTTCCAGTGTTTGTGTGTATAATTGGCTGGGAAATTAACATTTTAAGCAATTTTATCTGAATGATAATATCAACTGTGACTGAAACCATCACATTAAGCTGCAATTATGATTATTTTTTGTAATTAAATATAATTATTTTCTCAAATTTATATGGCCTTTGTAGTAATAATAATGAAATTACTGGCAGCAGAATTGTAACTTATTTTTATAAAATCACTTGTTTTCTGTGACTGGGAAACTTCTTTAAATATGTACTTCTTGTTTTTTCATGTTAAAGTTTTTTTTGGGGGGGAAGAATGGCATTATACGAGGGCTATCCAGAAAGTAGATTACGTTTTGGAATAAAAAAATAAACAAAGTATAGGAAACAAATTTTATTATATACAGATGAAAGCCACACTCAAATACTACTTTTCTACATAGTCACCATACAAATTAAGGCATTTATCGTAGTGATGTACGAGCTTGGAAATTCCTTCGTCGAAAAATTCGGCCGCCTGCGCCTTCAACCACTTCGTTACCTCTTCTTGCCTTCCATCTTGCACAAAACTTGTGGTAACCAAGCTTTTCGCTGATGATTTTGTGCAACAAACTTCGCGAAATTTGTGGAAAACTCAAAGAAAGTTCCGTTATTGTGAAATTTCGATTTTCACGGACTTTAGCATCGACTTTTTCGAGAAGTTCGGCGGTCACTATGCTGGGTCTCCCACTTCGATCTTCGTCGTGAAACATTGGTTCGGCCATTTTGAAAATCTTATGACCCACTGACGCACTCCACCTTCAGTGATAATGTTGTCCCCATACACTTCACGAAGCTGCCCGATAGATTTCTATCGGTTTACAGTTTTTTGCAGTCAGAAACCTTATTACTGAGCGCACCTCGCAGCTTGCGGGATTTTCAATTAACGCAGACATTTCAAACCGTCACAGTATCTGAACGGAGCACAGCACGAACCTCTCACTAGCACGGCTAGATGCAGACTGAGCTGCGCAACGCTCTGACCCCAAGATGGCCGCGCTAGCCCCGCCCCTAGCGGACACAGACGGAAACGTAATCTACTTCCTGGATGGCCCTCGTATTAAAAAAAGTACTTTTCTTTAATAATGCAAATGGTAAGTTTTAAAGTTTTCTTTTTGTTATTAAGGTAATGTCTGAAAAGTAAGGTTATGTTTTCAGTTATGTTTGTTCATAAGCTATTACTAATTTTCTGTAACTACTTGAGAAGTAATAATGGGATGTGACATTGCCACCCTACTGTTTTCATAAACACAAACTACTTTCTTTCAGTAGGTGACCCAGTGTACAGTAAATATAAAAGGGTAATTTAATTATATAATTAGTGAGAATGATTTAAACAAAAGCATGAAAAGTTAATTCAAGAGAACATCAGTATCTGGTTTTCTATAATGAGGAGCTTTTCCAGTCTCATGATGTGAGAACTCATCAGCACTTGTAAAATAGCTAAGTTAATACATATTTTTAAACTGAATTTAAAGAGAAATTTTTTTCTTTGTTTTAAACAAATATCAAGTAGCATTAATTAAAATTACATGTAAAAATTGGTAATTGATATTTTGTTGCAGTTATCAGTTGAATAATTGTAAAAATTTATTATCAGGTTTACAAATGAATTCACATAGTTGTAACTAATATTTAAATGTTATACTTTAATTAATTTTCTCTTACTTTATTTATTTTTTACACAGACTAAGCGCATGCTTGTTGAAAAAATGGGTCAAGAAGCTGTAGAATTAGGTCACAATGAGATCAGCATAACTGGTGTTGAAGAAAATACACTAATTGCTGGATTATGTGATTTACTAGAAAGAGTTTGGGCTCATGGCCTTCAATCTAAACAGGTAATTCTTTCTGTAGAAATAAAAGTAAATGTAGACTATTTTTCTGATTATCTGCACACTCATGAAAAGTCACAAATTAAGTGCTGACTTTAATAAGCAATGATGAATTCATTGGTGACTAATTTTTTGCCATACTATTGTACAAAGGCAGGATCCATTTGGTGCAGTAAAATGCTGCTTTCAATAAATGAGTGGTCAATCAATTAAATTTGAAAATCAAGATAATAACACACACAACTTTTTGAGAAATTCATTTGAGACTTCTTTTTTTGCACTGTTATTCTTCCTTTGTAGCAGTCTGCTTTTACTAAAAAAATATGAGAATTGGACAAACTGCACACAACTTCAGCATTGTACACCGGTTAGCAGCAATAAATAGACAGTTGTTCTTAACATATGGCTATCTTCAAATCAATTTCCGATCTGAATTCTAGCGCTTTACTTGCCATTTTCCCCTTTTCATTTCCTGAAATTGTGTCATTTAAGATATACATCTTCACAGAATGTGAATTTGTGCATTCTTTATTGTTTTGCAAACTGCCATATTTTTGCAGAAATACTCACTATACATTTTCTTTTTCATCAACCAGCAAACTCCACATTCCCGTTATGATTCATTATGAAAAAAGCAAATAAACTCGATGCAAAAATAAATACTTAGCGGAAAATTTGTGTTAAATTTCAAAAGTATAAATAAACAGACGTTTTCCACTTTATATGTGGGTTGTCAAATAAATGCTTTTTTCTGACATCATGGGTTGCCTATTTTGGTGACACACTGTATTGCCATATGAATACTTTTTGCAGCTTTTTAATGGGAGATCTGATAATCAGAAAGTGCCTGAAATCCTTTAAGAATAAAGTGCTGTTTTAATTTTGAACCAAAATTTTTTAATACAAATAATGTGAATGACTGTCTAAAATAAATGTGGTACATATAAAATTTTGAGAAAATTCTGAAGATATTTATATTTTTTAATGTGTTCTATTAGTATCTTTTAGCTTTTTATGTGGTGCTTGAGAACAAACAGATAGTGTTTTCAAGTTTGCTGATGTTCTTAGTATATTATAACAAACTGGGGTAAATTTTTACTAGGGTAAATCGGCTTTATGGTCTCATCTGGTGAGTTATCTAGAAGTTGAAGAATGTAAATCATCGGGTAAACCCATTGATCCTAATTTTTTAACTCCAGGTAAGTTATACTAAACATATTCAAGATAGACTTCTTTTATATATTTTAATATTTGAATATCTGTTTATCATTCTAATAGTTGCAGTGTAGTAGGAATCTTTAAATTTATTATCAAATTTTTCTAGTTTAGCAATTGTTAAATATAAATGGTTTTCTAAGAGCACATACAAACTTATTAAAAAACTGTTTTTTTTCAAACAGATTATATCATAATTATTATCTTTCTGCAGCTTAAAAGGTATGCTTTTTGTATGTATATAGGGCAGTCATTATACAGCTTAAAACCCAGGAGCTGCATGCAGCCTATTGTAAAAAAATATTTGTGGCATGTTTTAAATTTTCTGATAAACCTTGCTTGGGTCCTATTTACGTAATATTAACATGATAATTTTAACGAATTCAGTTTAATAACAAATTGTGCAGAAACAATGCAATCCACACAAATACAGTATTGTTGCAAAATACACTGCCAAAAGGGGCCAAAAAGGACAGGGTTGCCAGATTTGGCATGAAATCCCCCATTTGGTGAAAAAATTGGCAAAATGCCGTAGATGGAACGAGGACATTCTGGAATTAATTCTTAGCAGTTTCCTCGAGAATGTTCTTGAAGGTATGTGAAAAGCTATATATACCCTGCCTGTACGTGGAATAGAGAGTATGCTGAGTTCAGTAGTACTGTCTTGAGTTTAGAGATTAGCTGGATAGCGATCGACCGAGTCATAGCTGTACTTAATGCTTTGCGATGAACACCGTTATAGCCTGCTAGCCTGAAGGCTGTGTTGCTGATTGTTTCAGCATGTTTGTCATTATTTTTCAATGACTGTAATATGTCTTTGGAACTGTCCTGACAGAACTGATTACTGACATATAACTTGTGTTTCGATTCTTGATCAAGTGTTGTCATCAATCACATCAAACCCGTAGAATGCAACAGTATGGCTTTGCTTCATAAGCACAGCCAATACCTTCCTAACTTTGTTGCAATGACATTGTAAATTACAAAAATGGATGTATTCAATTTAGTGTGTCATACCTACTTTTGTAGGTATTCCAGTCTGATATTTTCCATTGTCACTTAAGTTGTTTAGAACTAGACCATATGTAAGAAATAAATAATTGAAGAAGAATGTACTTTATTTAGTTGAATGGAGAGGAGAATTGAGATTATTCAAGTCACAGAAGAAATGTGTATTATTTGTGTCAGAAGAATGGAATTTAAGTGCCCTTTTAAAAACAGCAACACTTTAAAAATGGCATAGAAATAAGCTTTGATATATCTTGGTTAATTACAGTATTATCATGACAATTTACTGATGTTGATAGGTAAAAAATTAGAATGTGATTATGTCTAAAAATCTTTAATGTATTAACTAAATTAGAACTATAAATATGGAAACACAATAATATATACTATAAATATGGAATACATATTGCTGTCACTTCATGTCACATAAAGATTAAAATTGTTGCATATAGTCAATGTATTTGCTTATTATTCATTAACTGTTGGTGAATCAATAGCTAGAATTTTTTTAATTTTAAATTGTAGTACCCACTGAAAGCATGAAATTATATGCGACCCTTTAGGCATTCTGGTTTGTGTATAATCCTGGTATAGAACAACTTGTAATTTTGGAATTTATGGAAAGTCATTTCTATAAAAACTTTGAGTCTATATTCCTGTAATATCAAGTAAATATTTAGAAATGATTAGAATTGATGATTTTGTCATGTGCTTAAAATCAGTATTAGAAAGGCTGATTTCTGCATTTGCATATTGTATGTTTTGGCTAGTGGCAGTGTGATAGCATAATCATCTTCATATCATTTCTTTGTAGTGGTTTTATTTTCTCTTTGAAGTATTTATAGCTGCATTGAAATCTTGATTGAAGTGTGTGTAGCAAAAATTTATAAGCTCAGCGGAAAGGAAAATTTGTTGCTGTAGATACAAGAATACTGATGATGGTAATGAAAACCAACATGAATTCTGATAAGAAATGTGCATAAATTTCTAGATCTTCTTCAATTGACTATTTATAAGATATTAATTTTAATTTAGAAATATACATAGTAAATAAATTAATAGAATGAAGTGTAAAAACAAAACAAAAAAGAGGTTATTTTGTAATTCATCTTGATTAGCTTAATAATTCATTTTAATATACATAACTGCTTTATCTCTATTTTTATTCCTATTTTGATTATTATGATAAGAAATTAAACTGTAGTATGCTTGTTTAATTCCTCTGAATTTCATATTAAAATCTAAACTACTACTTCTATATACTAATCTTTGCAAATTTTCACTGTATCTTTCCTAACTGTTCTGCTACTTTTATTCTTATTTCCTATAGCATTGGCTTGGTGTGTTCTAAGGAAAAGGATTGATTGTAGGTGAAATAACATTTTGCCTCTACTTTAACACTAGTAATTTGCATGTGTATCCATGTATTTCCTATTGCAGACTATGGCATTTTTAGGGATGGGACAAATCCTAAATTTTCTGGTATTTGAATGCAAAAAGGTTCTGAAAGCTTAGAAATCTTAAATATCTTGAATCCTTTATGTAAAAATAAGAAGAAACTTTTTTAATAATAAAATTATTTCATTATAATAAAAATTTGAAATTTGTTTCTAATCTGCAGTTTAAAAAGTACTATATTTATTGAAAAGGTACAAATGAATTTTGGTTAAGACTGCACAAAATTAAATTGTTGAATTTTGAAATTAATTTTATCAATATAATTTTGCAAAAAAAAGTATTTGAATAACATTTAAAATATAATATTATAATTATTTTAAGCAAAAGTAATTGTAGAGGGCAAAGAATTATTTCAGTTAATACAATTCAATTCTAAACATTAAATGCTAAGTCTGTTTAAAAACTATGGGTATGGCACTCAGGAATGCGACAAGATGAAGTGGATGTTGCAAATTCTTTAAAATTACTGCAGTATTTTTTAATAAACTGTGCTATTGTGTGTTATATAGTTAAAAATAAATAAACTTACCTTTTCCAGAGTTCTGAGTTAAATTTAAAAAAATTTTAGGTGAGAATTCAAAATATTTAAGTGATGGAGTAAGTGTGAAGATTAAAATTTTCAAATCTTGAATATTTTTCACGGTTTGTGGCATTCAATGTCCCATCCCTAATATTTTTTTATTAATAATAGAAATTGAAAGGAAATTACTTAATCTGTACAACCATTTACAAAACTTGCGTACTGTTTGTCACCTTTCTTCTTGGCACTCAGTCTTAAAATTAAGTGTCAAAAAATGTTAATTACAAAATTACGTTTTTTTTTTAAATAAAAATAGTTTTGCATAACATTGGGTTAAATGTACTTTAAATCAAAGAGCTGCAATTCTGTGTTTAATACTTTAAAATTATTAAACTTGCCATGTTTTTAAATTATTGAAGGGCAATTTTGATGCATAAAAATTTTTTCATAATTTCTGAAGAGTTAAAATTTTATAGTTAATGTTTTTTGATACTTAACACTCAGCATATCATGGGGAAAAAAATACTTGCTAGGTTTAAATTGTTGGTTTTCATTCCTAAAATTGTCCATATACTGCTTTTTAAAATTCTTCTGGAAATATTAATTGGTTAGTATTTCAGAGTTCAGAGCTTCAGTTCTAATGAACAGCATGTCTTAACATTTGAAAATATCAAGTCAAAAGTTAATTGCTGATTATTTTTAATATTATATGGTACAATGTAGATCTAATTAGATTGTTATCTGTTTAACTTTTATCAGATAATAAACTTTTATTTTAGAAAATACTTTATAAAAATTTCAGTAATTTTAGAAATTTTTGCATGAAAATATAGTACCATTTTTTAATCCCCTTTGAGTAGCATTGTTATCTGTGCTGTCTGAAAAGTCCTCCTGCTTTATGCTTTGTGATCTAATAATGCAGTTAAAAGTAAACTTTATTTTTGGTTTTCATAATTTTTGATGTTTTAATTGTTATATTTTCATGTTTATAAAACACTTATGCTGTATTCTCACAAAGTAAAAAAAAAAAAAAAAAAAATTATAAGTATGAATATTTGCTCATTTACACAGAGAATTCATACATTTTTATAGAACCATTTCGAATATTTCAATGACAAATGGCTAAAAATTACAATATTAAATCTTTCATTTCATTTTCTAACTAAAGGAGAAAAAAGTATTTAATAAATAATTGTATGGCATGCAGTTAGGTTGAGTTTTTTCTGCTGAGTAGCATGGGCATTAAAATTTATTAGTATACAGAGTGATTCTAAATTGCTTTTACACATTAAGAGGGGTGATAGTACCCATTCAAATGAGCAATAATTACCATAGAACATAGGGTCGCAATCCACTCTGAAAGGCAGAAAAGAGAGAGTGCATTGAGGAAGAACAAGGAGAGTAACTCTTAAGGCTGTCGAGAATTAACTGTTTGCAAATTTGCACTGAAAAGAAGCAGCATTTTGCTCTTAATCGGTGCCAGAAGAAAGCCAATTAGAGCAAATGGTGTCGGTGAAAATGGCACAACATCGTCGCTTCAAGTATTACCTTGATAACATCATCCGAAACGTTTTGTAAATTTTATGGTGGAGTACACAACATATGAGGAATTGGCAGATATTCTCCTCACATATGATGAAGCATGAAGATTGTATGAACAGCAGTTACAACTCCTTGGATTCCAAGTCATCCAACCTTTTCCGGTGTTGATCGAAGACTGTGCGAAAGCAGTTCTTTTGCCATCTCAAAAAGCATTGCAGGACGTTCGCAAGTGCATGAGCACCAGAAATGGAAGAACGACTTTTGATTAGATTTGAAGCAGCTCCTTCCACAAGTATGCAAGCAGGGCATACAAAATGGGTATTTCTTAGCCAGTGGTGTGGCATATTGTATCCCTACCACGTGCACAAAGTGCAGCCTTTGGGCACAGATGATTATCCCTGCCAGGCAGACTTTGTGTAGTGGATGTTTGGAATGAGGAATAACGATCCACAATTTCCTGCATTAATATTATTTAGTGATGAGGCAACATTCAGCAGAGAAGGCATTTTCAATGTACACAATTAATACATTTGGTCTGCTAGCAATCCCCACTGCATTACCCTTCATAAGCGCCAGCAGAAAATTTTCGTGAACGCCTGGGCAGGTATCCTAGATGATTGGTTACCTGGTAGGCCGTTACATCATGCTAGACCGTTTGACTGCCGCAATATACCATATCTTCTTGGAACAAGTGCCTCCAGTTTATTGCAGGCTTTTCTGCTCCCCATCCAGAGAGACGTGTTTTATGCAAATGGAGTCACAGCGCATTTTTCTGTCATGGTCTGTAAATTTTTGAATGCGATGTATCCTGCACAAAGGATTGGACAGGGTGGACCTGTGGCTTGGCCTTCTCGCTCACTGGACCTCAGCCCACTAGTCTTTTTCTTCTGAGGGCACATGAAATCTTTAGTATACAAGAGACAGCTGAAGATCTCGAGGGAAGAATCATTGTTGCCACGGACAAAATTAACACAACACCAGGAATCTTCGAGAGAATGCGTCTGTTGTTCCTTTGCCAATGTCAACTGTGCAATGACACACGTGGTCTGCATTTTGAGCACTTACTGCGAGTTTTTCACTAAACAATAAATCTCATTGTGCAACTTCTGGTCTCGTTCATTCGCTTTTCCGACACTGTTGTAAGTTCAGGTTGGAATTCTAATATTCACCATTTCTGCCTCTCAGAGTAGATTGTGACCCTATGTTCTATGGTGATTATTGCTCGTCTGGATGGGTATTATCACCCCCATTAATTTGTAAAAACAATTTAGAATCACTCTGTATAATTCATGTTTCTTTTTGGCATGCAAACAAGTGTATTGAAGTTCCTTAATGCCTTTTTAATTTTGCACTTTCTTATTCTTACAATGTAAACTTGCATAATTATATTCGCTCTGTGTATTATACACTTTGATATTTTACCATTCTCTTTCCCTATAAAATAATTATTATATTCGAAAGTTTAAAAAGAAATAAGAAAAATACTTAATTTTTTTTTTTTTTTTTATTTTATTTTATTTAATGTGTTTTAATTTAATATTAAAAATTTTTGTGGCCGAAATTTTCGTTATTTGTAATGTTGTTTCATTATGTAAATTTTCGTTATTTTGATTTTTGCCCTTTTATTCTTGCATTTGCTTTTGATTCTTACTCTTAACAGCTACTTTTGGGCATGCTTTTCATCTTACTTAAAGAAAAATACTAATCTTTATTTATAAACAGCATGTCTTAACTTCATGCAGAATTAACTTGCTGAATCTGCAAAATATTTTTGCCTTTAAAAAGAAAAAAATTCAAAATTTCTGTTTTTTTTAATACTGATTTATTTCCTTTTCCAGTTGCTTATATGGAATCCTAAATAAAATATATGTCTGCTGCTTTAAACTTTAATTGGTATATTCAGCCTTTGTTTGAATTTAAAAGAAAATTTTTCAGTGTATTTCAAGAGATAGAGATGAAAAATTCTCTTTGTTTTAGAAGTAAATTAGTCTGCTTTTTTGTCATGACTAACTAAAATATTATCTTCATCCAACTAAAGAATCATAATTGATTTTAAATGTCTAAATATAAGTGTCTTAAAAAAAAGCGCTTCAAACTGTAAATATAATACAGTATAAAAATATCTTCATATTTTAGATATTTGCCAGCTTTAATAGTTGAAAATTTCCAATATTTATGTAGTGTTTAAGAAGAGCCATAATGATATTTTTCAGGGAAATTTAATAGGCTGCTTTTTAAGTAAACGCATTTTGCACTTTTTTCCTCTGCTTGATTTTTTCCCCTTGTCTAAATAAGAAATTTATCTTGTCAAATTTCAGTGTGGTCCTCTTCACTTAAAATAATTATGTTACTACAAGATATACTTATTATTCTAATGTGTACTTTGTTTTTTATTCATGGATATCACTTCATTAGCACTTGACTCTTATGCTGTGTCTCTGATTAACCCCCTATAACCCCCTATGGTGTATTCATAAATTTTCAACCATTAAAAAATATTTTTTTCTGTAAAATATGTCAAAATATTTGCTTCTAATTAAGGTGTCTGCACTTAAACACAGTTCATCATATTATATAATAGTTCCACAGGTTAACTATTTTGTGAACTGTAGTACTTATGTCTGGTGATAATTTTCATTGTATCATAAGGTCTGAAGTTTATTTAGCTGTTAGCAGTTGAAGAAGGTGCAAATAAAACTGGTCGTGCCAGATTTCATTGTAATTTTCTGACTTCTACATTTGTTTTATCTATCTCACCTTTTTTTTTAATTCATAGTAAGGGCTATTATGGGCATCTCTATTTATTTATTCTGTGGCCTTGATTGTAAATTTGTTTTGGTTTTCTATGTTTGAGATGATTTACACAACTTGTATCACAAAAACCTAAAATTTCCAGAGCATATAAAATAATTGCATCATGAAAACTGCATCATCACTTTCAGAAGCAGCAGTCACTGTCTAGTAAGTGAACAGCCACAAACTGCTATATGATATTTCTAAGAAACGGTGCAAAGGCATTGTGATAATAGTAGCATGTACTCGTGCCATGGAACAACAGAATGTCAATAATGTTTCCTGTTTCAAATTCAATAAAATAACAGTAGAAGCATCTCACATATTAAAAGAAGTTTAGCACTTGGGATTTTATGGCTATATGCATCTTTCTGTGGTAGCTAGAAGTATTTTCAGAATGATAATGGAATAGCCAATTGTGAAACAGCTCACATAGAGAAAAAGATACAGGAGATTCGCAGTCATGCTAAGTTATTAAATTATTTTTTGAATGTTGGCTAATATTATAAATAAGAATGAATCAACTGCCATGATATTCTTCATTAATACCTTTACCAAAAAAAAAAAAATGTAAAGCCAGAACAGTATTGGCAGTTTTTGATTTCAATCTGATCTTTGTAATTTTTTCGTGTTGTTGTTGTTATGTAGTATATATAACAATACTTATTAACTTCAAAAGCTAGCATAGCAGATGTTATTACAGAGTTCTTCATAAAGCATTTGTTTTTTGCATGGGAGTTAAGTAAAGAGACATTTTCAAAAAATATCTGGATATGAGACATTGAGTTGCTTAAAATTTATGTGCTGCATTTTTAAAGCATATATTGATATAGTAAAGACATTGTATTTGATGTAAATGATCTGTAAATTTAAACTGCAACTGTCACAAATTATTTTTACATATATATATATATTATTTTTTAGCATCATTTCTCTCTGCATCTCTCTTCTTTTTTTTCTCTTGTTTTGTTTTGTTTTGTTACTTTATTTTGGTTTCTTTTTACTTTAAGTTCATTACACAGCTCGTCCTGAACCATTTTGGAATATAGGCTTACTTCTAGTCAAAACTGGTGCATTAAGCACTCTTGTTAGTCAACTCACAAATATTGGTAAGTGTAGAATACTCTTTTAGTAAGAGAAAAGCATATTTGCCCTAGCTGTACCTTTCCGTGTTTTTTATATTTTGTTTGCTCAACTTTCTTCTTTATTTTTTGTTTGTTTGTTTGTATGTGTACTAATGAATTTTCCTATGTTATGTTAAAGATACGCAATGGTGTTGCAATGATCTGTTTCTAGTTTATTGAATAATATCTATTTTAATGCAACCTTACTTATATTGCTGCAACTATAAAAATTATTTCTGATTATTTTACTATCAAACATTCTGTCCATTTCTCATTTGATTCAAGTAATTTCTGATACATTATCATGTTAGGATTTATTGCATCATAATTAACAGCAGCTGAAGCTTGTTTACCGCCTTTAAATCCATTTTTGCTTTACTGTATTTTTATGTGCTCATCCTTTTTTGAAGATTATGAAAAGACAAAATCTTTCATTATTACATTGATAGAGTGAATTAATTAATTATAGAAATCATATTTATTATAAAAATATTAAAATATCCCTCAAAAATATACCATTACAGCACATGCTAAAATTGGCAGCCATTTCATTTCATACCATTGATGCTTATATTTTCATACTTGTTAAATCTACAGCCAATGTAGCAAATTTAATTAGAACAATTTTACTGGTGATATTGCATGTAATTTCATTTGCCATGTAAATATGTGCTATGCATCTTCCTTATTCATCATTAAAGTCAAATAGGCTTAGTTTGTCATTTCTAAGCAGTGGGGCTGATAGAAATTATTCTTTTTTTCAGATTGGGGAGGAACTGGCAAATGAATATAAATGCCTGAGTCCATATCAGAAGTAAAAGAAAGCTTATGGTTATCTTATAAATAATATTGGGTCGTCGAAAATGTTCTTCATTTTTTTAAAGCACCAGAAGTTCTATTAGTTTCAGAACTTATGTGGCTGAATCACTTTTCCAACAGTTGCCATTTCTCACATTGTGGTAAAATGACAGCATCTCGAGCCACTGAATGTTTAATACATGCAGTCATTCATTCAAGCATGGGCACTTCAAAGCCTGAATTTTGAATTTCAAATTTGTTTTTTTAATCTGTTTCATATTTTGTACAAATGTAAGGAATTTTTATTTAACAAACTCGGTATTTGAAAGCAAGAAGTTACAACGCTATTCAAAACAAAGCATTTTTATCTCCAGCACGCTAGGCTATTGTCATACAGCAAAATGCGAGATATTTACTCTTCAATTTTAATTCACAATTTCAGCTATTTAAAACCAGTGTGTTGCCATGGTCTCAAATAGAATACTTATTATCTGCATGCACCAGCATATTGCCACCCAGTAAAGCATCAGATAGTTAACTTTCAAATTTAATCTTTCTGTAACTGAGTAGCTAAACAGGTCATTGAAAAACAATACACACACTTCTTAAAAGTATTTTTTCTACTTTTTAATCTGATTGATTAAAATAAAAATGCTTTTCTTTGATAAAATGTCTAATTAGAAATATTTAAATATATTATGAAATGAATCACTGTCTGGACTCATTAAAATCATTATATATGTAGTTGTAATGAAAGTTTTCCACCAAAAAACGATCTTAATAAAGTTAGAAAAAAAAACATGAAAGCAATATCTTTAGTGTGGGTAGTAATCACCAGCAAATCTATAATTTTTGGCCAATGTTTTGGTAGTTTTTCAAACCCTTTGGCCCAGAAATTTCGTGGCCACCAGTCCCAAAAACAGATGAACCTCATTTCTGATGTCATGTATAGAATGGAAGATAGCACCAGATTAATACCAAGATTTAGTTGCAGGTGTGAAAAAAAAGGTAGAAGTCCAAAGGAAGCAATGTCGTGGCTATATGGTGGATGTGGCAAAAGATCCCATTCCCGTACAGAGTCCAGCCGGCGAATGCAGACACATGTGGTCTTGCATTATATTGATGGAACATTACCTTTTGCACAAAAGTCAGTTTGATGCTTTTCCTGAATAGCATCTCGCTGTACACCTTACTGTTGAGGATTTTACCTTTTTCCAGATACTCTTTGTGGATAATACCATGGCAATCCCACCAGATACAAAGCATGATCTTTTTGTTAGCCAAATTGCACTTTGCGGTGAGCCTGTAATGCAATCAACAGGCTCACCGTGCACAGACCAACCCCTTTTTCGGCCTGTGTTGTTGAAGTAAATTCTTTTTGCATCAAAAGTGACGATTAGATCCAGAATTTTGTCCTTGTGTTGATATTTGAGTAGATTCCAGACTCGAACATGTGTCAGCTCATGCGGCACCCAGTAATTTAACTTATACATCAAGTTTATGCTATGCATGGTGTGACTAATGAACATACCACTAACGTCTAGCTCCATAGCAAACTCTCGAGTGGTTGCATACTGATCTTCTTCCACAAGTTCTCACAGGCGGGCATCATCAACATCAGTAGGCAAACCTTCACTGTGTCATATGATACAACATTAGTACCTAAAGCTATATACATGATTTGGTGATATTCTGTAGCTGACTTTTTGCAACAGAACTGGAAGTAAATTATGGTTCTAATCTTGTAGTGGGATAGTTCCATTTCAGACACCTTGTACATAATGATAATGGTATTTTTTTACAAATTTCATAACACAGTGCTCTAAAGCGAGTCTCTTTCTTTCAAATGCCAAAAATCGTGTGGCAAGATATGATTAAACACATCAATGTTAACTGTTTGTGCATATAATATTTGCAGTGGTGAGAAACTTTCATTAAAATTCAAAGAGCATAGTGAATATAAAAAAAGTATGGCAACATCTAACACTCTATCATTAATTCTAAAAATATGCTTTGTTTAAATATTTTATAGGGGCTTAAGTGTAAAGACAGCAATTCTTAGTAATAAAGCTAAAAACACCAAAAAAAAAAATTGTGTCAGCAGTAATGAGCCGAAGATCAAATTGGTAACCTGCAATGCCCAGCAAGAGTATAAAACACCTTAACAAACCCTTGGTGTGACATTATAATCTAAATACCTTCAGATTTTTCTTTTTTTCTTCTTCCCCCCTTTTTTTTAATTTGGTAAATATATATGAAGCAATACAAAAACAAAAATTTTCATTGAATCACATTAGCATATTATTCTATGACATTTTGTCCTCTTTCAGACAGCTTTAAACTTCCATTTTAAATAGTCATTAGTTATTAAAGTTATTTATAAAGAAGTTATAAACATGCTGTTTTAGGTTTATTGACAAAGAAGTTATCAATGTGCTGTTTGATAGTCTGCAAAGAAGTGAACTCCAGGTCATTCAGAGACTTTTAAAGAGACCTGAAGAGATGAAAATTGGCAGGACAAAGTCTGATGAGTATTGAAGAGAGATCCTGGCATAAAGCATCACAGCCATATGCAATATATTTTTGTCTGACATTCATCTAATTATGGAGCCAAGCATTATTATGATGGAAAGGTTGTTTCTGAAAGATTGGTCAGTTCTGGACACTTTGCTTCAATATCTACTTTTAAAATTACCTTTTGGGAACAGTATTTTTCTGAAATTACTATCTTCTGCTCATTACTGATTTGATGGTAATAATTTGAAACATGCAATTCCTTTGTGGTACACTATACACAGTATTACTTTTTTGGGATGCAGCTCCCCTCCATTCTTGATGCTACTAGAAGAGGTTCTTTTGGCTTACCTCATGATCTTTTTCCTGTAACATATACATAATATTGCAATATTCAAAAGCTTCTTTATTTTTTTTTTCTTTTTTTCAGCAAAGAACCACATATCAAAATTCGAGCAAACATATTCCATTAAAGTATGTGGTACCTTTGCATTATAACAGCTTATGTACATATTATTTTTCATATGACTGGGTAGAGTACTTTTTGGAGTAGTTATTCTGTCTGGTAGCTCCTGAATTGTATAACTTATATTTTCAGCAATAACTTCTTTCAGTAGATCATAGTTTACAGAGAAGGTCATCCAGAGTAGGCATCATCTTCAAGAAGAAAATTTACATGCCTAATCAGCTTTTTTTTTTTTTTTTAAACTAATGACTGCTTTCCCCCCCTTTTTTGGAATAAAAGCATAATATGACCCCAAAAAAGAAATTGGGGGGAGGGGGGTCTGCATTCTTAGCCTTGCTCTGAGATAAAAATCATACCACAACACATACAAAAATGATGCAACATGAACTCAAAAACTATATTTAAAGATGCGCTTCAATCAAGGTCACTCTGTATCAACTGGAACAAAATTATTAAAAGCAAACATAATGCTTCGTTTAGAAAAACTGCATAACTTTTGGGATGACCAAATAGATAAATGCCTCTTAAATTTCCATGTATACATGTAATAAATGTATATAAGTTTCCATGTGTACACTATGGACGTTTCTGAAGAAAGAAATTAGTTTCATGATATGTGTAAGGGACATCATGGGTGCATACTTGGCTGCAGAGTTGGTTAGGAAATACCTTTGTAACTTGATTTTCTGTATCATCACATCATCAAGTGGGAAAGAAAGCTGAGTTGTATCCTTTAAGAAGAATACGATAAAGTTAGAACCTGGCCTTACAGGAAAACATTATGCCACCCTTGTTAGTTACTTATCAATTCTAATAAGTGTAGCAGAATACTCTCAGATACTTCTGTATCAAGCAGATTCAGTTCATGAGATCATGAGAGGGATGCAAATTTGTTTTCTTTCTTGTTAAGTAATGAAATTAAAATTCCAATCTTCTTTCATAGATGTTAAAGTTATTTCCTTGCAATTTGACCAAAACAAGTTATACTGCTCACATCTTATAGCTGAAAAACAAGGGTTCTCAGCATTTTTTGTCCCATGTACCCCTTTCACCATTGCTAGATGATCATTCCCCTTTTTCAAAACTCGAGAAATACATATATATTTATTTAAATTTAAATTATTATTATATATATATTTTATATTTTTTTATAAATTAAACAAGAAAAGCATAAGAAATGTTGATAAATACCAAAGCTTTAATAAAATAGTTTTTATATTCATAAACTAAAACTAAATACTTAACATGTATGTAAAAAGATGGGTGCATTCCCCCTCTGAAGCTAAAAATTTCCTCCCATGTTGAGAACTCTGGCTCTAGAATTTTTGGTTGACTTGCAATAGTCATTATCCCTAACATTCCCATGTTCTTGAATCATTTCATTATTTTGTGCATCATCTGCTTTTTGCCATCTTGCCGTATTTTTCTTGAAATGTTTGACTGCATACGAAAAATACATTATGTATCAGCATTGTTTCAGCTGACAAGTGACAGCTCTCTGACAGTGTCAGTGGAATTTGTAGTGGGAACTATCATGTCACTCTTTTTTTTTTTTTTTTTTTTTTTTCCTTTTTCTTTTTTGGAGGATGTTAGTATGATGCCTGGGGCAATCAGTCTTCTGTATATTGAGCTGCATAGTATAACTATTTAATTATCCTATATAAGGCTTAATTTCTAAAATTAAAAAGTGCTGAAGCTCTATTTAGAAGACCATCCACAGCGAACATTATTTAAAATAAATAAATAAAACAAAAAATAAAGGTTGAGTTATTAAAATTAATCTAAAAGTAAATTGTAAATAATAAATAAAGTCAAAAAGAGTGTAATATATATTAGAAAAATTAAAGGGAATTGAAACTGGAATCTTAACCCTTTGACTATAAATTTTAAAAAAAAAAAAGCCGCTTTTTCTATCCAAGTGAACAAAATATGTCATAAATAAGGTAAATTTAGCATTTGGGATTTTTTTGACTATTTTCAATGCAATTATTTCAATTTTTTTAGACTGTGTTCAATCCAAAGTCTGGGACGCATATGTCCCAGCTATAGTTAATGGTGGGATACGTATGTCCCACACATAGCGATCGACTTGCCATAAGTACACCAATTATTGTGGAGTATCTTATTATATGAAATTGATTTACATTGTATGGTGCAGGGTAAAGCATTCTTTGCATAACCCAACATTACACATTGGGCAACCCATATTCGTTCTTTTCTCTATGTTCATTTGTGTACAACGAGCACAGCAGCCTCTTGATTTTCCAACTATTGGAAGATGATCCTCAGCATTCAAGAGGTTCTAAGCAATCTTCGACCCAGCAGTAATTTTTAAATTTTTAGTGGGGCATATATATCCCTTTAGTAGTTAAAGGGTTAAGTAATTAAGAATTAAAGAAAAGTAAATAATTCTGTTTATCTGTTTATTAAGTATATTTTTTATCCAAATATTTAATGAAAAATATCAGTGGAACTGTTTTGTTTAGACTCCTGTACACTCCAGCTAGAATTTCTTTCAAAAACTGAGAAATATAAAAGTTGCACTTTGGTGGAGTTTGGCTAAATTTAAGCATTGAGCCTTTAATTAAGTAGCATTTCTAATTTGGTATATCAACCTTTAATAATTTAGTAGATGAGCCTATAATAAGTAAGTTAACATCCATATTTTTTAAATATCCGTATGAGCTAGTAGTTATATCCTTGTGAATTGCATTTTAAGGTTCAAGGTATTGCATTCAAGGTTTCTTCATGTTCTAAAAATTCATCTGCATTTAATGAAATTGAATAGAATAGAAAACAGAATTTATTAAGTTTATTTTATTTATATTAGCTATTTTAACCCCGAAAGACACTAATAAGTATTTTTTGTTTTTTTAATTCATTGTATTTCATAAAGTGCTATAAAAATGATGAAGCTAAGTTTTTCAGTATATTATGTTTGAGCTTTGCGGAACTTTTTCATAGTACTTTTGACATTATAAAGCATAGGCAGCTTAAATTTACTAATGATTTAACTAAAAATGAATTGATTAATCATCACTTGTTAACAAAAATTAAAGCATGTTATTAAAGTTATAATGTAGACATGGATGTGTATGGGTCTCTCAGACAAAAATGATTTCATGAAAATCAAAGTAATATTTCTTAAATTGAATTGGTTTAGCAAGTAGAGTTTGTGTTCAGAGTCAATCTAATCAGAAGAGAAGCATGACCTTGCTTTAGAAGGTTGCTTGTTTGCTTAATTTTAGAATCATTATCTTGCCTATTATTAATTTTATGTTGCTTTTGCTCTGGCTTTATCACTCTTTCTATATTTTTTATTATATCCTATGATAATTCTAGCATAGTTGTTTTTAAGTTCGTTTTACATTTTGAAATTAAGCCCACCAGCGGCTGAGCGATAACGTCGCTGAACACTGGTAGTTCGGTCCGAGGTTTGAATCCTGCGAATGGGCTGGCTGCATGGGTGTTTTCGTGGTTTTCCCCATGTGTAACGTTTATACGAGCCAGTTTCCCTTAGAAAGTCCTCCACGAAGGCATCCCTCCCTTAAGGCAGATAGCCCTCGAGTGCTTTGCTGTAATCTAATAAACCAAACCAAATCAAACCATTTTGAAATTATTCATTGGGAAAGAAATTTATTGAGCTTGTTAAACAAGCTGTCTGAGTATGCATTAAGTTTTCTTTGCAAAATATTATAAAAATTTTTGTTTGTCTCTCTAATCTTTGCAGCAGCATTTTTTGTATAGATATTGGGTGTTTTAAAGACTATATGGCTAAGTATCTGTTGAAGGGTTGTAAATGCATGGTTCCAGTTTAAGAAATGAATGCCATATGATAGACTTTTCAAGATATTACAGTTTTAACTGTTTATCAACTTTTAGTAGAAATATATAAAATTTCAATTCTCATGTGTGCCTCCTAAAAAAGAAAGCTCCAATTAGTTTTTTTTTTTTTTTTTTTTTTTTTTTTTTTTTTTAATTATTTTTCGAAAAAAATGTTCTGCAACTGAAAAAAGAAGAGAGATGCTGAAAAATATTGTCAATTATTTGACTTGAACAATCTTCGTTTTAGGTACTGTATAAAAGTTATTAGATAAAAAATTTAGAATTTTAATAGTTCTACAAGTGGGAATATGAAAATCAATGTTTCTGTATTCATTTTAATAATGTATGCGTGTTTGAAATGATTTGTTTTAAAACTTCAATATGGCTTAGTTTTTCAGTTTTAGTTTCTCCTCTTCCCCAAAAAGATTATGCTATCAGTTACACTTAACATTTCCTGATTATGTATGCAGTTTTATTGTTTTAATTTTCACTATTACTTATAGAAAATTATTAATTTATTTAGAACTTGCTATTCTGATACGATGAAAAAGTGCTAATTTTAGCTTTAGTTGTAATGAAAATTAAGTAGTCTGACTAGAGCAATTTTGCTCAATAAAAACAGCAGAAAATCTTCAATACAAGTATGGCGATTTTTAGCAGAATTTATTTGATGGTAAATTGTAAAAGCAATAATCAATTAAATGTGTAGTTTGCTTCAATACTGGATGAATAAACTTATAAAAAAAGCATAACTAATAAAAGCTTTTAAACTTGCATATTTTTACAGTAGTTTATAATATGTATATGCATATTTTTACAATATGAATGGTAAGATGCCATCTGTCAGGAAAATTTTATGTTAGCCTTTAAAAAGCTAACAATCCTCTGTGTGATAAGTCTCTGAGTACAAACTACACTTAGATAAGTCAATTCACTTTAATATAATCTTTAAGATATTTCTAAATTTATGAGAAACCTTTTATATTAAACTTATAAAATTATATTACAGAGTCTTTCGTAATTAATTACATATTTTGGTTACTTACAGTGAATGTCAGTCAGGTGGTAAAAATGAGTTGATTTTACTGAATAGTTTCACTGAGTAATGTGTGCTGGTCTATATTTTCAGATATATCTAATCTCTCTCTTGAAGGAGACCCTTCTCCTACTCACAAAGAGAATAGTAAGGATAGGAGGAAAGGGAAATCACTGGATTTGCCTGCTCTAAAGTCACTGCCAATATCCTTAGTCTATGATATAAAGTGAGAATTTGGCTCATTTTTTTTAATATAATTATTTTTTTACTGTATATTTTTATTTCTAACCATTTACTAGCTTTCAATGTCTGATTCATTATTATAATTTCTTTGTGTATCTAACAAAATCATCTTTTAATAGGCAGTTGATTTAAATCATATAGGTGTGAGCTTTTTATATGCAAATTGGCTCTTAATTGTAAATTTGCTTTTTTATTTGGTTGAAGCAAGACTTGTATTGAAGTTAATGAAGTTTCTTTTCATGAGAAATAAATAAAAACATTCACTGGTTATATATAGATAGATAATTATGTAAGGTAATATTCAAAATTGTCTGCTTTGTATATCTGGCATACACCATGGAATCCTATTCATGTAGGAGTATATGACCAGAAATGGCACTTGAATGTAAAAGAAGATGACATGCACTGAAGTTATTAAAGTTGTGGTTCATTAACCCATTAAATGACCGCACTAACTTTCACTTGAACGAAATTAACAAAAATATTTTTTTCATGTTTTAAGTCTAATTAAGAGAAAAAAAATTAACAGCAAAAAAATTTTTTTAATTGAAGATTCAGAATGTTGCAAAATCCCAACAGCAGTCAAAACCAATTACTTTTGGGATCCATGGAAATCTTTGAAACATTTGAAAAAAAAGGACATAGCATTTATTGCAAACATAAAAATCATTTGATCAGGTTACCATTTGACCACCACAGTATTTACATTTTTACTTTTGCTTGTTGAATTTTTGTCGATAATGTGATTTGTGGGATCCTTTCTGGTTTCACTTGGAACTGATTTCTGAAAGAAAGATGGTTGACAAGCACAATCAGTATATGAAGTTGAAAGCTTCAAATTTTCAAAATATTCTCCCATTGTTTTCAGCAGCCCCAGTGCAACCATTCTTTGAAAATATAGTAGGAAAATTTTTAGGTCTACAATATATTATAGTTTTTTCATGCATTTGATTTAGTTATAACATTAAGATTCTTAAAAATAGGCCCCGGCCGCACCATTTCTTACTTTTTACTTGCACTCTACATACATTGCAATAAAATTGTCCGAAAGGTGCATACATGCATACATACATTTGTTGTAATTTCCATTCAATATAAGTTGCTTTATAGTCGCAGATTTGTTTTTTCTTGAGTATCTGTTGGTCACTGAAAGTGGATAACTTGTTCAAAGTCAGTTATTATAGCTATGATAGAACTGTCATTCCATCAGATTACTGCAATGTCATGTCCTTTATCAGATGGTGTCATGTTCCAATTTCTTCTTTTTCCATTTTGTTTACAGGTATAATACAACAATTTCCTAATTTGTGCTATTACTCCAGCTGCATGAAATTTCAGCTCATTTAATTCTAACAACATGTGGTACATAAAAAAAAGTTGTTGAAACATATGTATGATTTGAAGAAACTTCCACTATACTTAAAAATCTGTTTCAACATCTCTACATAGTCCAAGATCAGTGTCTTTGAAGATCTTCCTGTGTATATATATATATGATATAAGTAGTCTTCGTAGGAACACAAAACACCAAACATTTTACTCGAAATGAACGGGTTTTCCTTTGAGACATTTATGCAAAATGTTAATGAGAAACATTCTGCATGAATGTCTACCAAAATGAGCTATTATTTGTTTATCCATAGGAAGATATTTTGCAGCAGACCTCATACAATATGAAATTATCATTTAAAATATTTAAATAGAAAAAAATTTAGCTGCTCTTTTTTTTTTTTTTTTTTTTTTTTTTTTTTTTTTTTTTTTTTTTTTTTTTTTTTTTTTTTTTTTTTGTTTTTTTTTTTTTTTTTTTTTTTTTTTTTTTTTTTTTTTTTTTTTTTTTTTTTTTTTTTTTTTTTTTTTTTTTTTCTTTTTTTTTTTTTTTTTTTTTTTCAAATAGGCAATTTGCTCTGAAGGACTATTAATTTCATTTTGCATTGAAAACTTTAAAAGGCTGTATCAAATTGTTGCCACCATATATTATCGCCCTGTATTATATTTAAAGAAAATTAAATAATGAAGAATCTGCATAAATGTATGTATGTTTCTCGCACATTGTGATAAAAACAACAGTACCTAGAGCCATCAAAATTTGAATAAGGTAATCTTCCATAGAATATGTGGTACATTGGAAGAACCTAATTTTAAATTTGAAATTTGTTTTATTATCGATTTCAGATTTTGTAACACTTCAACAAATTTTTTATTAAAAAACTAAATGATTTAAAAGCAAGGAATGGCAACACTGTACGGAAAAAAAATTTTATCTCCAGCGCCTGAGACTCTGTATCGGAAATTCTAAAGATATGCTCATTTTAAAATTAATTTGTGATATTGCTGTTGAACTGAGTTTTATAGTTTGAGTATGTAAAACATTATATTTGATAAAATAAAGGTTAAAATAACACCCCTTTAGATGTAATTTAAAAACTGAAACTTTTCAGATTTTTTTTTTTTTTTTTTTTTTTTTTTTTTTTTTTTTTTTTTTTATCCAATGTATTATTATTAGCTAAATTCATTTGCTGCTTGATATGTGGAATGTGTCATTACCATTACTGTGGATACTAATGGATTCTTTGTCGACAAGCAAGTATGTTTCATATCATAATTGATTTTATTTTGTTTGATTAGAAATGTACAAGCAATGACTGAAATCAAAACAGATATTGGTTATGCCAGGGCTTGGGTACGGTTAGCTTTGGAGAAGAAGTTATTGCATAAACATCTACAAAAGTTATTATCAAATCAAGAGTTACTTAGGTAAATTATTTCTGCATCATCTTCTTTTTCCCCCTATATTAACGTAAATAAATTTTTGTGTGAGAGGGAAAAAGGTAAGTGAAAATCATAATAAGTTCTAAAATTGAGCTTAACAAAAGAATTTCGTATTATTGATTTGTCATCATGTATCTTAAATTAGTACAAAATTTTATGTATGAAATTTAATTATTTATGCCCAGGTTTAGGTGGGAATAAAGCTCACAACAAATGCAACAAATGCTCATTCAATTTACAATATAAAAATTATTACCTAGTCATTTGGAAAATAGCATGCATTGGAACACACACACTCGTGATCTACCATTCCAGAAACATTATCAGAATGCCTCTTTTGGTATCTGTTAAAGACTTCCTGCCTAGTTATTTAACATTTAATTTTTATTGTCTGAAAACGTTGACCGTATAGAACCATATTGATAAGCGAGAACAGCTGATAAAAAAAATGCAGCAAATAAGGTGGCTGTGGCATGACAAAGAGCTGTTTTTGATGAAAGCAAATCTTTTTTTTTTCAAATACGCGTAAGTTGTATTAAGACATTGGTCTGACAGGTCTAAAGATGCATTTTTTTCTCCTTCACCCACCGTCTTGTAGCCAGTTAATGGGTGAAGACATATCGATGCTTATTTATTTTTCTCAAGAAAAACTAATAAAAGCTGCAATTTAAAGAGTTCAAAAGTTTATGGTCATTAAACATATTATCTGCCAATGCAGATGCTTGTTAATAACTCAGTGTGTGATAATTAGTATGTGTAGATGGTATAAAAAATTAAGACGAACTTATTTGTTTTACAGGTTACATTTACGGAAATGAAATGAAGAGATATTTAGGGTTAATATGAGTATGTAAACCACTACAGATCATTAATACTGTTGCATGCGTATAGGTTCGTAATAAATTGAATGCACAAGTCTGATGAAAAGTGAATAAAAATTTATTATTATCACAACAAATAAAACAAGATACTTAAATTTCTTCAGAAATAATCATACAGTATCTCAATATCTCACAATAGTTATCTTTTAAACTACTAAATATGTTCAACAAAACTTAATTCAAAATAGAGAAAGCTAATCCGATTTCACCGCGAATTCGCTACAGTAAACAGCAACAGTTTTCTAAACAAACTCATAAAACAACGGAGCTGAGATGTTCTTTCTCTGGATTTTATAAGCTTTTTAATCAGCATGAGCATGGTCTGGTATTTTCTTAATCTTTCCCGAAAAGCAAAAGCGTACAATTATGAGATATCTATTTATTAAACGTGCATGCTCCTGTATTTTTAATTTTTCCGGCGTAGCTTTCTCTTCAGATAAGTCTCATGTTGCATTGCACGTATTATAAAACAATTTTGATTAATTCTATTTTAAAATATCTAAATCAATATAAAAAATGTAACACTATATTTAATAACTTGCATACTGTTGGGCATGCTCTACTGTTCCTGTAAGCTTGATTCTTCTGGTTGTCTAATTGCTGGCAGGTGGTCTGGACATGACTGAATGATCAAATAAATAGAAGGTACATTTTTATTGTATCAAGATTCATTGTAGCATAACATCCTTGGCCAAGCTATCTGCTATTTCATATCTTTCCAGTCCGATATGAGTCGTAACCCATTTTAGGTGTATCATGCCGGTAATTCTAATGAGAAGAGATGTAGTACCTCTTGGAGGTGCTACTGACTGTCAATATACCTAATTGTCTCCCTGAATGTATTGTAGCTGAATTATAGTTTGTCATGAAGGTGGCTGTCATGAAATATTGATTTTGTGCCAAATACTGAACCTAATCAAAGACTTAGTGCTGAATTACTCCAAAAACATAAATATTGCCTCCCCCCCCCCCCCTCTTTTTTTTTTTTTTTTTTTTTTTTTTTTTTTTTTTTTTTTTTTTTTTTTTTTTTTTTTTTTTTTTTTTTTTTGTTTTTTTTTTTTTTTTTTTTTTTTTTTTTTTTTTTTTTTTTTTTTTTTTTTTTTTTTTTTTTTTTTTTTTTTTTTTTTTTTTTTTTTTTTTTTTTTTTTTTTTTTTTTTTTTTTTTTTTTTTTTTTTTTTTTTTTTTTTTTTTTTTTTTTTTTTTTTTTTTTTTTTTTTTTTTTTTTTTTTTTTTTTTTTTTTATTTTTTTTTTTTTTTTTTTTTTTTTTTTTTTTTTTTTTTTTTTTTTTTTTTGAAAAACGTTTTTTTTTTTTTTTTTTTTTTCCCAATCACTATATGGAAATGCAACTTAAGCCATTTTTGAAGTGTGGTCTAAACTAGAAAAAGCTTCTTATCATTATTATTTAATATAATAAGATGAATAAAAGCATCAAAGCTTTTTCAATAACATGAAATGGAAAAACATTATTCCAATGCAGACAAAATACCATGCATTTTCAAAGTATTAAAATATGCAGTGTGTAAAAAATTTTAATGTCTAAGAGAGAAAAAAAGAAACTAAATTTATAGTTTAGTTGTAAATAAACTTTAAATTCAAATAATTAATATAATTTCTTTATTTCTATATATTGAAATATATTCATTTAATAGTCTGTGTCTCTTTTTATTTTTTTCCCTAAGTATTATAAGATGATTCAAGTTGCTTTCATTATGTTTTCCCTTTTGCATCTAGAATGACAATAATATGTCTTTATTAAATTGTAAGGTTTGAAACATATCTTATTTATCTGTATTATTATTTACTCAAAATTGAATTTTGTAGTTACTGCTGATAATCATAGACTGTTTTGATAATGCAAAATTCCAAATTCAAATAATCACATTTTCAGTTTTTGAATGTATTTATGAAATGCACATGATTGAAAATGCTTGGGATTTTTATTATTTACTGCTACAAACTTTAATAATTTTTGCAGTGCAGTGCATTAAGTTGCTGCAGATCTTTAAATATCTTCTGCAAACTAATTTAACTAATGTACTGCTACAATATACTGTAGTGTATCAGTTCAGCCAAAGGTAGATTTTGCAAACACATTCATTGTAGGACTTGTCACGTATTTTCAAAATGTAGTACATTCCTCCAAAATTACAAGTTATTCTAAGTTTTAAGAATTTTGCTTGTAATTCATTTCATCTGCTTGTTTATATTTGGTATTTATCAGCACATTTTTAAATATATTATGCTTTAATTTTCACAGGAGTTCATACAAACGATATGCCTTTTTAAGGTGTGAGGATGAGAAAGAACAGTTTTTGTATCATTTGCTGACATTAAATGCTGTTGATTACTTTTGCTTCACAAATACTTTCACGTCAACTGGTAAGTCAATAAATACATCACTTTCTATGGATGTATAGCATGTATTTTTCTAATTCAGAATTTAATATATCAGTTTATGACATCATTAACATTTTTCTGGTGCATAATTTCTGGAAATCTGAAGAAACTACTTCACTTCCTTCCAATTATATTTCTGTTAAAAATATAATGGATGTCATAACATAGTCAAAACAAAAATTGATATTAAAGCTGTGCAGATAAGGAGATAGAAATATATTTAAAAACTTGCATATTGTTTGGTATTAGTAATGCAGCATTATTTTATGATTTTCCAGAATTTTTAAATACTGTTTGCCAAGCCCTCAGATGATCAGGTGTGGGAACGCAGATTTTCTGTTCTTCATTTATATTATATTTATTACTTGTAATTATCAGCTTTTTATATGCGAATGTTTGTTCACACATCTTTAAGAGTTCATGCAAAAAGATACATTACAAAGTCCGTAATCCGGACTCGTCGGGACTTTGGCGATTCCGGATTAGGGGTTTTTCCGGATCATAAGATCATCAATTTAAATCTGGTAAGATTGCATACAGAAATTACACAATTAAAAATATGAAACTGTAATTTATGAAATAAAGAGCAATTATGATCTAAAGGGTATCAAAATTTACAAAAAAAAGCTTAATATTTATTTGTTTACTGTGTTAAACATTTCTTTCAATGTAAGTTGTTTAAGTTGGTTTGTTTTTTGTGCCAATACTTTCTTTTTAATTCTATAAACAGACATAATTTCTTGTTCAGTTACAAAGTTCCACTGTTCGAGTCCTGTAATTGTTGTGTTGCGAATACCGACTAACTTATCAATCGAAATTTTTTTGTTTTCAATAACCTCTCTGTCACTTTCTTCACTATCAGAAGCGGTATTTTCTGGATCTAGAACCATACTACAGATTTCGCTGTCCATTAATTGATTGATAATTGGGGCATTGTCGTCCCAATGAAAAACTTCTGTTATACATGCTGTGACTGGCTGCTTGCTAATTTGTTGTTTCCAACCTCCTGACTACTTTCTTTAAATGGTATATTTTAATCTCTTATTCCTGTTTGTAGCAAGAAGTTTTTTAACATTTTGTAAGTTTCTGTTGGATTTATCCCAGATGATTGCAAAATTAAATGTTGATGAACTGCTGAAAACAGGATAATTTTTATTGTTTGCCATACACTGCATACGTTAGCAAAATACTCTTGATGTTTACATGTATGTGACATCAGCCAGTGAAACTTTTTCCCCTGCATATGGGATAATTTCTTAATACAATCAAATGACTGCTGTGTACTGTAAGATTTTTATACATGTACCGTTCTTATAAACGCAATTCTAGCTATGTTTGGATCCTTCCTTTAGAGAAACTTTATATTTCTCTTCAGTGCTCAAGTTATGAAAAAACTTGCTTTTGTCTCTTTAATTATGCAGTGTAACTTTATGATCCAACTTAATGTCAGATGTATATGTTGCACTGTTTATTAATCCCAGTGTCTGTATCAGCACTTTTCTTTTCCAGTTATGCATTATCGTGTTGTTGTATTTCCAAGTCGGAAGCTGAGTGCGTTCAACTACTACTGCCAATGCGTGGATAATTGTTGCAGGAACCTTAGGAGAGACTAAACAAATTGCTTTACCAAGGCAAACCCTGGAAATAGTTTTTGAGGTAATCCATCACTTTTATTTTCACGTTGATCCACAAAATGTTTTTTGTGTGTACTTCATTCATTATTTCTGAAATCCAACATTTGTATTTTTTGAAACTTTGATGTAATTAATGAATTCATTATGCTTTTACAAGTTAAATGAAAAATATTCTGCATCTTTATATGCAAAAATTGCTAACATTGTAAATATGAAGTTATTGACTTTTACTACTTTACAGACCTTATTAAGATATTTTGATCAAGTTTTGTTTGACTGAAAGAGAAACTGTAAAATAAAAGTTGCTTTTTTTTTGGCAAGTAATGGTTCAGTACTGGAAAAAACAACTTTCATTATTAATTTTGTATTTGGCAGTAAGGAACTAATAATTGCATGGATTTTGTTTCTGCTTAATGAAAAGAAATGAGCGTTTTATTTATTGGACTTTTGGCCTTACCGAGGCTATAAAAAAGTAAAATTTTGTAATTAGAAGTTATTTGAAGAATTTTTTAATTGGATGTCTAAGATCAAAGTTTAAGCACAGCAAAGTCTGCTTCTACCCTTTTTAAGTATGCTACAGAAAAAAAAAAAAAAAATATTATAAATAATGTTGTGTCGGTATTATTGATTCATTTCATTATTGCTTGAAAAGCTATGGTTTTTGAAATAGGCAGAGCTAATTAAGAAGTGAGCATTTGTACTTTTTAATAAAAATGACAGAATATTGGAAAATGGCATTTTTAATATCATCTTGAGTTTTTACCATAAAGAATATGAGCATTTTGAAATTAATATTAAAAATTAAATATTTTGTGCTAGATAGGAAGAGGTAATATCAGTATTATTTCATTTCACTATTTTTTAAATAATGTATGAAAGTAAACAAGCTGCAATATTACATAGCAAATAATTGTTACTGAAGAACATGCCAAAGAACTAAATGCTGAAGCAACCAGTAATAGCTACATGAATCCATAGAGTTGGGGTAAATTTGCAGTATTATAGTTTCAAAAGTTAAGCACAACATTTTTTAGCTGTGAAGTGAAAGTGGTAAAAAAGAAACGAAACTTACCTGTATGAGAACAATAGGCATGTTTCTCTTTCCCTTGTTTTCATTTCTACAGCTGTAGAAGATGACTATGTTTCTTTAACTTTAGAACTACAGTTCAGCAAATTTACTTGAATTGCTCTGATTTATATTGGTTTCTCTAGCTTAACTAATTTATTTTATTATTTTCAGTCTGCTTCTCAATAGTGGTTAAAAAATCTGAGCATCAGAAATGATATTTTTGAAATACCAAGAGCAAAAACATTTTATCGGTGTATTTTAATTCTAAAAATTTAATCTACCGTGCAATTATAAAACTTATATATATGCTTTGAAGGCTAATATTTAAAAATAACTGCCAAATGTATTTTTAAGATTTAAAAAATAAAAGAAACTTTTATTTCAGTGTATATATTGTTCTGTAAAACGTCAGTACATTTTTGATTTTCCAAGATAAGTGTATTAATCCTATATAAATAAAATTTTAAATTTATAGCTGTAGCATTTTATTTTGTACGTATAATGATCATTATTTATGTAATAACAAGATAAGATCATAGTTATGTTATAACACGAAAAGGTTGCACTATAACAAGAAAGGTTGTAGGCTAAATAATATCTATCTGTAGAGGAAACAAAGTGCAATTACTTCATGTTCACTTACTTAGCATTTTATAATAAATGTATAAGCAATTAAGAAGAAAAAGTTGGATATATATATTTTGTTTATCTATTTCTTTTTGGTTTAACTTTTTACCTTAAAGTAATTAAAATTTCCATGATTATTAATGTCAATTTAAGTATAATGTTTTTCTCTTAAAATATATGAGTTTTACTATAAACGTTTTCTTTGTAGCAAAAAAATTTGGGTATTTTAACTACATTACGAATTGGGCATGATAATACTGGAATGTCTCCTAAATGGATGGTTGAACATGTGGTTGTTCGAAATGAAATTTCTGGTCATACGTACAAGTAAGTAGTTGATCATATGTATATACCTGCATTTATAATATATATAGTCAAAAGTCGTTAATCCGGACTCGTCGGGACTTCGGCGATTCCGGATTATCGATTTTTCCGGATTACAGATCATCAGTTTAAATCTCGTAAGATGGCATGAGAAATTCCCAATTAAAAATATGAAACCGTAATTTATGAAATAAAAACAATTATGATCTAAAGGGTATCAAATTTACAAAAAAAAGCTAATATTTATTTATTTACTTATAAAAACATTGCTTTCAATGTAAGTTGTTTAAGTTGCTTTGTTTTATTGATAATACTTTCTCTTTAATTCTATAAACAGACATATTTCTTGTTCAGTTACAAGTTCCGCTGTTCAGTCCCGTAAGGCTGTGCCGAGAATACCGACTAACTTTGTGATTTGAAATTTTTTTTCGTTTTCATTAACCTCTCTGTCACCTTCTCATGTCTTTATCCTTTTTTGCAGCAATTCCACTTTTGTTTGATGAGACGAAACATATTTTCGTTTTGTAGATCCTTTGGGCTCCAGCATCGAAATTTTATTTGACATAATCAAAGTTCAATTTACTTTATAAAATTGCTCTTACAGTCTGCAAAAAATAATAACCGATCCAATTCGAAGATTAGGAACAACGAATCATCAACTTTAACTGAAATAGATAATTACATAATTTTAAGCTGATACCGTCCGTTATACTAACGCCACGCGAAAACGTATTCTGCACTTGCGCACCTGCATTCGCAGTCGCACGCGTAAACGCCTATGCGCATGTTCAATGCGGCGCATGCGCAGAAAGTTTTTAGCTTTGAGGTCCGGATTATAGATCATTCCGGATTATGGGTGTTTGAATTAACGACTTTTGACTGTATATATATAACTTTCAGTCTCGTAAAAATGAGCCTAAAAGTTAATTTGTACCTATATTCATTATTTTTAGTGTCAAATATTTAAAGATTTTTAATAGTTATGTTGTAAAACTCTTGGAAATTTTCTATGTTTATAAAATATCAGTATATATACTATATATTCTTTTCAAAATAGGATATAGACATTGATTAAAGGAACATGAGTAAATGTAGTCATAAGGCCTGAGCCTCATTTCTTAAAACATGGCAAATTACAGTTTTGCAAGTCTTTATAAAATGCAAAATAGTTTATTGTAACATAATATATAGTTAGTATAATTAATAAATGTCTCAAATATGTGTATTATGTACATCCATTGTAAAATTTTTGTTTAGTATTGGTCTAGCATTTGTAGGATTAATATAATGGTGCCAGTAAATTAAAATATTATTACAGTAGAGTCCTGAAAACTCGGTACTCAATAACCCGGCAGTCCAGATAACTCGGCTACACCCCCCACAGGTAAAAAAAAACTCATGTGCATGTGTCCCCTTCTTTCTGCGTTCCTTTGTCTTACGTCTCACTACCATCCTCCAACATATGACTGGTGCCGGCACACATTCAGCTGTTCAGTCTACACAGCATTTACCAGGGTTAGTAGATTTCTTAGCCATGTTGCATAATTCGATGTTAGTGACTTATATGTATTAAAAAATTAACCTATTAGATATATTAATTCAGAAGTGAAACAACAAAAATCAGAGTTATTTACAATATTTCCACAGGACTAGTTTCGATGGTTTTACCGAACCACCATCCTCAGCTGCAAAACCGTAAATGATTTTGCAGTTTTGCAGCTGAGGATGGTGGGTTCGGTAAAACCATCGAAACTAGTCCTGTGGAAATATTGTAAATAACGCTGATTTTTGTTGTTCTGAATTAATATTTATTCAGCGTGTTATTGTGTCTTAACTATTAGATATAGTTGGATGGGAGGCGGATGCCTGGAATGAGTTAACACTGGTTCATTCCTGGCAAAAACTCCTTGATCATGAGGGAAATGAGTTCATTGAACATGATGATGTAGAAAATGTATACTTACTCGACCTCTTAAAATCAGTTCCTAGATGTGCAGAAGCCAATGAAAATGACGTCCAACAATGGTTCCAGCTTTATTCCTTCATAAAGTATTTTTCTAGGGTCTGTCTTATCAAGCAAATTACTGTACAGTATGCATTCATTAATTTTCATTAGTAAAGGCTCTATATCTTTATAAAGTACGTACTTTTCCTTTGTTTAAGTTCTGGTAGTTTGAATTACAATATTGAATTCTTGGTAAGCTGTTCTATTCTCAAGCAACCAATACATAAAAGTACTGTATTTCTGGAGGAAGCACTCGTACATTTTAAAATATTTCCCGATAACTCGGCATTTTCACAAACTTGGTCGCCCTTTTTGTTTCACATTAGGCCGAGTTTTCAGGACTCTGCTGTATTATTACTCAAGCTTGTTTTTTGGTGCATTGTTAATTTGTTAAAAAAAGTTTGTGAAGTTATTAAAACTTTATATAATATTAAAAGGTATTATTACTCAAGCATCTTTTGGCACATTGTTAATTTGTTAAAAAAAAGTTTGTAAAGTTATTAAAACTTTATATAAGATTAAAAGGCATTTTTTGCATTGGGTTGGTTTGTTTTAGTTTTTTATGGCAAGCACACAAGGACTTCCTGCCTAAGGAAAGGTATGCATGAAGGGTTTTCTAATTAAAACTGACTTGTATATACATTACACAAATGGTGAAAACCTGAAAATGCTCATGCAGCTAGGCTGTTTCCTGAGATTCAAACCCTGCATTGAACTACAGTGTTCAGCGACTTTACCTTTCAGCCACTGGTAGGCCACTTGGGAAAAGTACCCTCATGCAAACACTTCTGCATATCATGTTTCAATTTTTCAAGACAATTAAAAGAAATTACAAGTAGCAGTCTTCTAAAAGCCCCCTCCCATTATCCAACCCATTAACTATGCTCTTTACTTTCCTCTTGATACACTCAAAGCATCATGCTTTTGGCTTCAGTTTCTCTATAAGAACAAAGTCCTTTTGAGATGTCTGTGGTAGATGAAGAGAAGTTTAAGACCCTTGAACTACCGTTAATCAAAACTGAGATTGATTTTAGGACTTTGTGCTTCTTTAGCTTTAATCAAATAATTTAATTCAGTTGCCACTATGAACAGATGGAAATTAAGCCAAGTCTGCTGGTTTCCCAAGGTGAGAGAAAATAACCAATCTGCAAACTTGTGCAGATTAAGCCCAGTATAGAACACCAATAGCTACACACAAGCATGAAGTCATTAATTTCTTTTTAATATTGCTATTTTTTAATAATTTGTTTATTCTTTTTTTCTAATTTTGATCCTGTGCAGCTCTATATGTTATCACAGTGTCTAATAGCTTTAGAATTTTACAGAACATAATTCTTAAAAGGGAAGAAAGAGGAAAAAAATAATTTTCACTCCTTACCATTGTTAAACCTGTATAATTTTTCAAATTTGTCTTCTGCTAAATATATAAAAAAATTAATTCGGAGTTAAATTTTCTGAAGTCTTGAAACTTCATTAAAATCTATTGTCTTTTACCAGGAATTTTTAATTTCAAGCCGTACTGTTTTACAAGCATTTAAAAGTTGTATCTCGGTATATTTTTTCTGAGTTCCTTTTGATTTTATGTAAAAAATTGTACTGTTTTTTAAGTTTTAGATATTTTTCATAAGTTTATATTGTATTAAATGCTAACATTTGGAAAAATTCTGCAGTATATTTTTATTGGTTAAAAAAAGACTTTGAATGTTTGTGCAAGTCTCTTAAAATCTGTGAAAAAATTTCTAAAGCTAATCAAAGACTGAATTTTGTCTAATTTAAAGCTTGGTGTGCTTCTTTTGTGTTATTGTTACAATGTTATTTCGTACTATGGTTACATTTTAAGTGCATCGCAAAAGTGATAACTTTGTCATATCTAGTCTACAGAGGAACATCTTTACTGTCTTAATGCTTGTTAATTATAATTCCATTTAGTTTTATAGTATACTCAAAATAAAATGCTCTAAAAGGTTAAATTCATATAATTGTTAAATAATTTTATTTCCACGTCTGTGCACAGAATGTGACGTAAGATTATATCTGCTGGCTGTTAAATACATAATCTTTGTATAAAATCATCATCATTCAATTTGATTAGCATATACCAAAAACTTATAATTTAAAAGTATTACTATTGTATTTTTTCTTAGTTGCAACAGTAAAACAATTGATGCTTTGAATCCCAGTTGAAATTTTAACTATCCATATTTAAACAAGGTCAAACAGTTTTCATTGGTTATGTATTAATAAAAGGTCATGTTGGTGTGCTTCATAACTTACACCAGTAGCCTCTGCGTGTGGGTTGAATGCACAGTTTATATACTGCTGACAGGTCAGAATTTTTTACTTCCTTATACAAAGTAAAGAAGTATTATAATCCCGAAAAATTTCAAGTATCATATTTCAATGAAAATATCCATTTTTACTTCTGTCAAATCCATTTGAATAGTTTTTTTGCACGACATACGTATGTACAGACAGAATGAAGGACTCTTTTTTCCAAAATAGATTGTAAAATGGATTCAGAAATGGTTTTTTCATAATGTCTATACATATATATGTATCTTGCATAGCTCAAAAATGAGTAGCTATTAGAACATTGAAATTTTGTTCATGAGACTACTATAACATCTAGTTTTGCACCTTCCTTTTTGGTTGCAATCAGCCATACCAAATATGTGTATGTATGTACAGTCAAAAGTCGTTAATCCGGGCTCGTTGGGGCTTCGGCAATTCCGGATTATCGATTTTTCCGGATTATAGATCATCAGTTTAAATCTGGTAAGATGGCATGCAGAAATTATAAAATTAAAAATATGAAACCGTAATTTATGAAATAAAGAACAATTATGATCTAAAGGGTATCAAAATTTACAAAAAAAAAAGCTTAATATTTATTTGTTTACTTTATTAAACATTTGTTTCAATGTAAGTTGTTTAAGTTGCTTCGTTTTTAATTAATAATACTTTCTCTTTAATTCTATAAACAGACATAATTTCTTGT